TGGCGTCAGAAGCGGGGCCCCCTGGACTCCGTTTTGCTGAGGTTGGCGCTGGTTTCCGGTGTCCAGGATCATTAAGCACCATTTGAGCCCGGGGAGCAGAGAGGGGATGGATGGTGTCTTGGTGGGACGCGATCTGTGGGTGATTTGGTGGTGACTCTGCTAGCTGCAGAAGCCCCAGGCTTGGGTCTCCAGCCTCCCGGGGATTCTGCACCTGACCAACGGCTCTTTCTGCCGTGACCGATCCCCGCTGCTTGCAGTTTAAGAATCCTGACACTCTGGGTGACGGTACAACTGTTAATGGGTGACAACGTCACAGCAATAAGTTAAAGGTATAATGGTGACAGGAGACAACATGAATGTCCCAGGCAGTGGAGCAAACCAGAAAACGGCAAGGTGTCCCATGGATGGGTGACAGTGAGAGGGCGACAGCAGTGGGTGACACTGACAGGTGACCCTGTGATAAGAATTTGGTGGTCATGCAATATTGACAGGGAGACTGTGTGAATGCTCTACACTTAGGACAGTGTTGGGGTACACTAGGATGCTGGAGGGGGAGTGAGAGCCTAAATGTCTCTTCATGACAGTGTGATGTAACAGAGTCATCGTATCGGTAATGGACACCAGTGTAACAGACTCAGGCAGTGGAAGGCAAGGTGGTATGACGGTAGTGAGGAGGGTGCAGTGGCAAAAAACACTCACTCCCCGCTGTCACTGAGAACTTCCACGTGTCACTGAGACTTCCAACAGCTCCACACCGCCTCTGTCTCGCCACACCTGATGGATTCCTTCTCCCCTGGCTTCCGGAGAGCGGGTAGGGAGAATTCTAGAAGGAAGCACTGCCTGATCTACCAGCCTACCTCGGGGTTTAGCCATCGAAGTATTGGTCATGCCGTGTCCCTGGTGTGGGACTGTACCTCCCCACATTCCACACATATGCTGGGCTGCTTCTGGGGCAGCCAGAACCTAGCCCAGTGCCCGTGTAAGGCACACTGGGTGGCTGAAGAGCAGACCAGGGTGGACCTTGGCAAAGGAGCCTAAGAAGCGGTGACACAGGTGTCCCCGAGAGCTGGCTCATCCACGACAGCCCCCGGGCCTTCCCACGCTGGAATTCCACACCTCTGTCAACTTGATCCTGGGGTTCCTTTCCTAGCTCACTCTCCCCACACCTCACCACCCCTCCTGACCGTCCTCACTGGCCCCGGAAACCCCTCTCCCTCAGTCAGGATGCCCTGAATCTTGTCTCCAAAGTTTCGCTCTTCCTCATGCCCCCCCTAGCCCAGCCCTGGAGCCCTCACTGCTCCCCAGACCCAGTTCTAGGCCCCACAGAGCAGCCTTCAGAGTGACTCCTCTTCCTGGAAGCCCACCATGGCTCCCCTCAGAGGTGGGGGGACGCCACTGAGGGCTCCTGGCCTCTGCTTACCCCTCCAGCTTCCCTCTTGCCCGCCTTCCCTTTTCTCCCCTCCCCAAAAGCTCCAGTTTTGCTCAATTTGCGCATGTTCCATACTCTCCTGTCTCTAGGCATTAGCCTATCTTTCCCCCAACTTTTCATATTTGCTCTTTTCCACTGAGCCTTCAAGGCTCCCATTCCCAGGCAGAATGCTCCTTTCTGGGCTTCCCTAGTGGCGCAGTGGTTAAGAATCGGCCTGCCAAGGCAGGGGAAATGGGTTTGAGCCCTGGTCCGGGAAGATCCCACATGCTGCGGATCAACTAAGCCCGTGCGCCACAACTGCTGAGCCTGCGCTCTACAGCCTGAGAGCCACAACTACTGAGCCCGCGTGCCACAGCTACTGAAGCCCGCGTGCCTAGAGCCCGTGCTCCACAACAAGAGGAGCCACCACAGTGAGAAGCCCACGCACCGTAACAAAGAGTAGCCCCTGAGAAGCCCCCGCTTGCCGCAGCTAGAGAAAGCCCACGCGCAGCAACGAAGACCCAACGCAGCCAAAAATAAATAAGTAAAAAAAAAAAAAAAAGAATGCTCCTTTCTTTCCCCCCTCCTTCTCTCTGGCCCAGGAGTGTCATAGAGTCCAGGTCTGTCTCTTGGGACCCATATTGGGAGATTATAAAAGTTACCGCTCTAGTAGAGATTTTTTGGTGATTAAATGAGATAATGTGTATGAAACTCTTAACACCAAGTCTGGAACATAAGCACCTGCTAAATATCACCTCAAATTGTTATTTGCTATTTATTTCATTCCACAAGTACTTTGATGGAGGCATGATCAGCACAATCAGCTTTGGAATTCAATAGGGTAAACTAACAATTTCGGTGTGGGGAATGGATTTTTGAACTGGGCTTTGCCAGATGCATAGGAGTTTGCTGAGTGGAATAACAGCCTCAGGTCCAACAAACACCTTCTGACTAATCCCCATATTCAGGCTCACTGGTCTGGTGGTGTCTGTTTTCAGAGGTGGGAAAGTAGTGGGGAAAGCTAGAAATTTTTGTTTGGATATAAGCTCCAGCTAGGGAGCAGAAATTCTGAAATTCAGCCCCTGTGACAGGTGGAGAAACTGAGGCTCAGAAAGTCTAGAACTTCGGGATTCTTAAACTCTCCATTTTGAGAATCACATGAAAAATGTGGACCTCCTCTCTAGAAAACTCATCTTTGGCCATCGTTTTGCCTACATTTTTAGGGGCTTCCGGATGTCAGTCTAGTTAAGAATCCAGGCCCCAGGCGCCAGGTAAGTTTCCCAAGTCACCCTTGGAATTCTCCTTGCCCGAGGGAGGAGGCGGCGGCTCGGGAGGACGTAGGAGTGGGCCTCCAGGTGAGTCCCGGGACCTTTCAAGCCTGGTTCTCTTCCAGGCCACCCGAAATCGCAGCCCCATCTCAGGGCACCACCACTCAATTTCTATGTGAAAACGTGGTCCCCCCAGCCTCTCCACGCCGCGTCTCAGCCCACGCCTACGGCTCTGTGCCCCCCATCCCATTTCTTCAGCCCCTCGGAGTTTCTCCCGTAGCCCCAGGCCATCCCCCAGCTCCAGCCCCTCCCTCCGCCCGGCATCGGAGCCCCCGGCCCCCGCCCCGGGAGCTTCAGAGGTGCAAACGCGCCCTCCCCCAACTCCTCCCGCCCCCGACTCCCCCCGTGTGGCAGCTCTGGGCTGGGAACTCGGCGGGGTCGGCCTCTCGGTTTCGCGTTCCCGCCCCGGGCCCCCGGCGCCGCGCCAAACCGGCCCTCCAACGCCGAGCCCCGCGCGTCCGCTCGCCGCGCCTGCCTCCACGCGCGCCGGCTGGCAGGTAGGGGAAGCGCGGGACCATCGGCGGGCGGAGAAACCGGAGAGCAGCGGGTCGGGGGGAGGCAAGGGCGGGAGGAGGGGGCCGGGGCGACGGAGGGGGAGGGGATTCCTTTGTTTGCAGCCGGCAGCCCCGGACCCAGCCCCTTCCCCTCCCCGCGCTACGCTCGGCGCCGGCGTGGGGCGCGGGGACCTGGCGCGGGCGGGAGGGGCTCGGCCCGGGTGCGGGTGCGGGCGCGGGCGGCGGACACAGCCGGGCTCTGACCCGCAGGTGAGGGCGGGGCCGAGCGTGGTCGCGGGTCCCGGGCCTGCGTCCCCGGCTCAGCCCGGTGGAGAACGCGGCTGGCGGGCTCTGAGGACGCGTGCCCCCTCCTCGTCGGCGGAGCCCGGGATTCCTCGCTTCCTGCCCGCCGCCTCCCCCAGTTACCCCGTGCAGTGCGCGCCGTCCCCCCGCTCATTCATTCCACAAACTCCCGGGCGCGGTTCTCAGAGGCAAAGTGGGGGGTGAGGGAGGAGTTGGATCAAGCCAGGCCGGAGATGGAGGCCCCGTGGGCCCTGAATTCTGCCTAGAGAAGGCGTCCTCGGAGTGCAGACCAGCCGGGACAGCCTGGGAGCAAGAAAGGGGTGCCCCTCACCAGCCGGGCCGATTCTTTCTCGTTTCCCCGTCAAAGGTGACAAAGGTCTTTTCCTTCTCCGAGGACCTTGGGACCACCTGGTCAGACTCTCATGTCACCCCAAGGCCCAGAGAGGGGCAGCCACTGACCCAAGGGCACACAGCAGACTCCCCGTCTGTTCTGCACCCAGGCCCAATTCTTCTCCCTGATGTGGAAAGTGGGACTTGAAAGGGGCCCCCCATGAAGGCCACTTGGTCTGCCTTTTGTTCCCTGAGGGTTCAGCTTCCATCCTCCTAACCTTTGCCTGGTCATCTCCTCTGCCAGGAGTGGCCGTGTCCCCATCGCCTCCCTCCCATCCTTCCAGGTCCTGGAGAGAGCCAGCCATCTCCTGGAGGGTAGGGTACCCTTGATCTTCTTCCCCTCCCTCACCTCTGCCTGGGCTTCAGCTCCCACTCAGCCCTTCGCTGAATGTGTGATGGCCTTTGTTTGCTCCTCTGTGAAGTGGGCACAAAAGCTGTCCCTTCCCTGCTGGGCAGAGGGATGTTCTGTCCTTTGGGAAGTTCCAGCCTGTGCCCCCTGCTCCTGGAATCCTTTCCTCTCATCTGGATGCCTGCCCCAGCCTCTTCAACTGCGTGCTTCCTCTGGGGCTCCTGCAAGTCCTTCCACACTCCATCAAACACCCATTTCTACCCTTGTTCCTCCCACTTAGAGCCCTTCAAGGGCTCTCCATTGCCCTTGACATACAAGTAGAAGCTGCATTACACAGGTATGCACTCCTGAAACACCCTGGCTGCCTGCCACCCCCTCCCCTCCACTCAGTGGTCCACGATCTTCTTGCCTCTGCTCTCAGTGTGCTGTGTCTGCCCCGACACCCTTCTCTTGGATGACTCCATCGCTGAGACATCACACCTCCTCCGAGAAGCCTCCCGTGACTGTTCACCTGCTTGTGGGTCGGGGTTGGATGCCTCCCTGGGCTCCCACAAGCCCCCAGTTTCTCCATCCCGGCAGCGGTCCCACCGCTTCTGGTTCTCGTGGGTGCCCCGTGGCCAAGGGCTTCTTGCTGAGGTTGACTCTGCTTCCTCTCCGCAGCCTCCGAGGGACACGTCATGGTTCTGGAGGGTCTGTGCTTGACAAGGAGAGGGGCCGGCACCCACACCATGGCCCGGGACCCCTTGGCTCGGCTCTTGCTGGCCTGGACAGCCCTGTCGTGCGTGGCGGGTGTCCAGGGCCGTTGGGATGGGGCTGTGGAGCCTGCAGGTCTCGGACGTGTGCGCAGGCGTGGCAGCCCAGGCTTCTTGCAGGGGTGTGTGGTACCCGGGATGCCGAGAAGCCCCTGGGGTGTGGGCTGGTGCTAGGTGCGGGGGGTGAGGCCCAGGGGATGTCCAGCTGGGCAGGGACTCACCAGCCATGCCTGCTCTCCTGAAGGCCGAATGTGTGTGGCTCCCGATTTCATGCCTACTGCTGCCCCGGCTGGAGGACGCTGCCTGGTGGGAACCAGTGTGTTGTGCGTGAGTGTCGGTCCCTTCTGGAGGTGGGGGGTGCAGGCAGGGGACACTGGGGCAGTTCTCTTACTTACGGCCAGCAAGTCCAGCCTTGTTTAAAAGTGGACTTGGCCTGGGACGTCTGGCTAAGCCACAGGAATGGCCCCTGCTTCTGTCTGCAGGCTCCCAGGCCACCGCCCGTGTTTCTTTGTCGTACAACTTCCCTGTGTCTGTCTGCTTGTTGGTCTGTCTGTCTGTCTCAGTCTCTGTCTCTTTCTGTCTTGGTCTCTCTCTGAGTCTCTGTCTCTCTGTGTCTGTCTTTTTCTCTGTGTGTGTGTGTCTCTCAATCTCTCTGTTTCCCCACTCCCACACGCACCCCATTCTAATGTGTCTAGAATCCGACTCTGCTTCCAGGAGATGCCCCCTCGCCTCCTCCCCAACAGGACAGCCAGTGCCCCAGCACCTCCAGCTTCTGTCCTTACTACTCAGCGTTTCTGGCCCAAAGAGCACCTCTGTCTCCCAATGGCTCCAGCAGAGCCTCGGCCCCCGGGGCACCCATGGGGTGGGGATGGCGGAGGATTCGGGTCCTGGCCTTGACCGTCACCTGTTACTCTCCAGCGGTCTGTAGGCACGCCTGCGGCGAGGGCTTCTGCTCCCGACCCAACCTGTGCGCCTGTGCTGATGGGAAGCTGGCCCCCAGCTGCGGGGTGAGCCGAGGTGAGCAGGAAGTGACCCCCCAGGACTTCCCTGGCGGTCCAGTGGGTAAGACTCTGCGCTCCCAACGCAGGGAGCCTGGGTTCGATCCCTGGTCGGGGAAGATCCCGCATGCCGCGTGGCGAGGTCAAAAAAAAAAAAGTAAAAAATGAAAAAAAAAAATTATAAGCTTAAAAAAAAAATAAAGAAAGCAAGTGACCCCCCAGGGGTGGGAAGAGAAGGTGAGAGGCTTCCCGAAGCTCCCGGGAGCCCAGGCTGGTTTTGCTGAAGGACCAGAGCCAGGCTGCGCGCACCTGGTCCCGGCACCTTGTGCATGCATCTCGGGGCCTTCCTGTGTGTCCCTCTTCCCCGCCCGCAGGGTCGGGGTGCAGTGTGAGCTGCATGAATGGGGGCAGCTGCCGAGGGGAGTCCTGCCTGTGCCAGAGGGGCTACACGGGCACCGTGTGTGGGCAACGTGAGTACCCATCACGCACACCTGGGCTTGGGACCCCAGAGGTCAGGTCTCCGCTGCCACCTGCCCACCGCCCACGGGTCACTCCTCTGGGACCGGGATTGGAGGGGACACACTCATTGTCACAATCTTATCTCTTGGTCTGGGCCGGATCATGGGGATTCCTGCGTGAAGGAGGGCCCGCCCGGGGCCCCAGCTCCCTCTGCTGCTGGGGGACCTCAGGCCACACACCCCCCCCCACTTCCTCCACAGCCGTCTGTGACCACGGCTGCCACAACGGGGGCCGCTGCATCGGGCCGAACCGCTGTGCCTGTGTGTACGGCTTCATGGGGCCTCAGTGTGAGAAAGGTACCAAGCTGAGCGCGGGGCAGGGGTTTGGGGGGAGGAGGGCTTCCTGGCAGCCCCTGAGACGTGGCCAGGCCCTGGGAGGGTCCAGCTGACCTCCTTCCTGCTGTCCCTGCTGCTGTGAAGGGCAGAGACACTGTGCTCCAGGGAAGGGAGTCACGGAGGGCTTCCTGTAGAAGGGATAAGTCGGAGTTCATGAGATGGACACGCCCCCTCATGTTTCATCCTCACTGTTGAAATGATCCCACGGGCTGAGGTGGGTGGAGGTCACCTGTTGAGAGGCTGTAACCAAGACAAACACAGTGGAAAGAACAATGTTTTGTGAGAAGTTGGATGTTGGGGGGTGGGGGGGGCAAGGGGAGGGATGGAAGCAGGGACAAATCCCAGGTCTGCTCTGAAAACGGGAGGGAAGATGGTGCAGCTGGGGGTAGGGAGGGGGAAGACCCTGAGGCTCAGTGTTGGCCGAGGAGCCCGTGGGTCACCCAGGAGGCAGCTGGACAGCCAGGCCTGGGGCTGCCCCATCCACGGGGCTGAAGCCCAGAGGATAGTTGAGGTTCTTGGGGAAGAAAAGGGAGGGCGATTTAAGGGTCCACCAGAGAAATGGAGACCATGGGCAGCTGAGAATGAGAAAGTGAACAAAAGCAGGTGGCGTTGGGGATGCCCAGGCTGGCGAGTTTTGCAGCTGTAGGAGCCATCAGAGTGCCCTGGGTGTCCAAGGAGCCCGGGAAGGCAAAAATGGGCAGGACTCTGGGACTCACCCCAGTGTGAAGGGTGCTGCTGGGGATGGAGGCCCATCTGTGGCTGAAGCCGGGTCGGAGAGGGTATAGCCATGAATCAGAAGCTGGAGGGGCTGGGGGTTACCTGGGTTTGAGATTGAGCATTTGGAAATGGGATTTGGCGAGAAAACAGAGCTGGAATTCGGGCCGACTTGGGGAGCAGTCGGGATGGCTGAGGGAAAATGAAGGTTAGTGGAGAGGGTGGGAGAGGAGAGGCCTGGAGCGGGGGTGGGGGCCCCAGAGAGAGGCAGGATTGGGTCCCTAGGCAGGAGTGAGTGGGGTTCCAGGGTCCTGGATGACTGAGGTGAGATTCTGGGGGCCGTGTTTTGCTTTAGGAAGTCAGGACTGTCGCGGGTCTCCCCTCCTTCATACAGGCCTGGGGGCTGGCTTTGGCGTCTCCTTCTGGAAGGGGCTTCCCTTGGTCCAGTGCCAGCCCCTTGATTGGAGCCATCTGGAGGATGGAGCCAGGAAGTCACATCTGGGCCCGTGCACGGCGGTGGGGGGGCCAATGAGACCACCTTCAGCTGGGTGGGGAGGGGGTGTCAGGGATGCAGAGTTGTGGGTTCAGAGCATTTGGGCGGATGCTGGGTCTGGGAGGTTTGGCAGAGCCAGATGTGTGCTCAAGGATGAGAGAGGCTCTCCAGCGGGGCATCCATGGGTCCCTGCCCGGGCTTGAAGGGAGGGTGGGCCTGGGGGAGTGGTGGGGGTCTTCAGACATGCCCTGGGTTTTGTAAGCTTGGAGGTCCTGGCCTCTCTTGGAGGTTGGTTGGAGAATGCTTTGGAGAGAAAGGGTTTTGAAGGGTGAATAGGAGTTCATCAGGTAAGGAAAGGGAATAGTATGAGTAAAGGCTTGTGGTCAGGAAAAAAACCTGGTGTGTTGGTATAGGGAGGCTGGGAAGGTGGCTACCGCTGTGGTCCAGGCGAGAGAGGTAGAGGCCTGAGTTGGGCTTGCTGGGATGGAAATGCAGAAGACTATGGGGTGGGGTCAGCCTGAGGCCAGCTGCCCACATCCATCTGCCCTGCAGACTACCGGACAGGGCCCTGCTTTGGTCGAGTGGGCCTGGAGGGGTGCCAGCACCAGCTGACAGGCCTCGTCTGCACCAAGGCGCTCTGCTGTGCCACTGTGGGCCGGGCCTGGGGCTTCCCATGTGAGCTCTGCTCTGCTCAGCCACACCCCTGCCGCCGGGGCTTCATCCCCAATATACACACGGGGGCCTGCCAAGGTGAGTGGGGGGCCCAGTGCGTGAGGACCGAGGTCCTGGGAGCCAGGGCTGAGTGGGAGCCCTCAGCAGCCTTGGTTTCTCCCTCTGACGTGCCTCTCATCCCCTTGCAGACGTGGATGAGTGCCAGGCTATCCCAGGCCTGTGCCAGGGGGGCAGCTGTGTTAACTCTGTGGGTTCCTTTGAGTGCCGCTGCCCAGCTGGACACCAGCTCAGTGAGAACAGCGCCAAGTGTGAAGGTGGGCGACGGGGAGAGGTTCAAGCTGGGACCTTCTCTCTGCTCTGGGCGGCTCAGGCTCCCCTGCAAGGAGGAGGAGGTGGAGGTGGGGTAAGGCTGCTGGGGGGCTGGACTCTAACCGGACTTGTATCTACATAGATGTGGACGAGTGTATCAGCGTGCCAGGCCTCTGCTCCGGGGGCGACTGCACCAACACAGTCGGGAGCTACGTGTGCACCTGTCCCCGTGGTTATGCCAGCAGCCTGGACGGTACCCGTTGCCTGGGTGAGCCAGGGCCCAGGGGGGCTGGAGGGGCAGAGGGCAGGTAGGAGACAGACCCTCTGCTCATCTATCTCTGCAACCCTCTGGCCCTCGGGCTCCTCTAGTCCTTCGATTTCTATGCCCTTCTGTCTTTTTCGGACCCCGGTTTCCATCCCCTCGTTAATTCTGGTTCACTACCCATTGGCCTTTGTGCTCTCTGGACCCCAGTCTGAGAGGACCTCTAGCCCCCATCTCTATGCCCTTTAGCTCTCTGGTCCCCTGTCTCGGGGTCTTGGCTGTGCCCCTCTGCCCCTCGGACTCTATGCCCTTCTGGCTCACTGGTTGCCTTTCTTCCCTTTCTGGCTCCCGCTGCTGTGCCCCTCTAGCCCCCGCCTCTATGCCCCTCTGTCCCTCTAGCCCCCACCTCTACGCCCCTCTAGCCCCCACCTCTATGCCCCCATCTTGACGCCCATCTGGTTATCTGGCCTCCGTCTCTACGCTCTTCTGCCCATTAGCCTCTCTGGCCCCCTCCCTGTATCCCTCTTTACGCTCCCAAAGACTTTTTAAAAGTACCCCGTCTTCCCCCACGCTGTGTTTGAGATAAACTGAGGCCCAGAGAGGGGAGATTTGCTTAATCCCAACCACTAAAGAGCAGAGCCTAGATTTGAACCAAGGTCAGGTGTCCTCTGAACATGGGCTTGGAATTCAGTCCTGAGTTCCAACTGCTACTTAAGCTGCTTGCATACTCTGTGACCTTGGGCGAGTGACTTAACGTCTCTGGGCCTCAGCTGCCTCATCTGTGAAACAGAGATAATGGCCGTTCTAAACCACATGGGGAGGATTAAATAACAATTTATGAAGAGATTTGCCCAGGGCTGGATGTAGGGGGCACTCAATACACATTCACAAAGATAGGGGAGCAGGGAAGTTGGGTCTGTGACTGCTTAGCAGGGCCTGATCACAGTAGGTGCTTAATAAGCAAAGGCAGCATCATTTTTGTCAAAATTCTTACATTTTGTCTCGTCTTCCCTACTTGGGAAGCAGCTGCTTGGTCAGGTCCCCTGGGGTTCAGGGATTTGGGTTTTCATCCCGCCTAGCTCTCCAGCAGCTGTGTGACCTTGAACAAGTCTGTTGACCTCTCCTCGCCTGGGCAGGCCCAGTCCTGTTCGTGGGCCAGGGATGGGGCTGAGTGCAGAGCCTCGACTCCCACACATGCACCTGGGGACCACCCCCCTACCCTCCCGCCAGGTGCACGGGGTATGGCTGGGGAGGTGGAAAAGCTTGCTGTTTTCTCCGCCTCGGGCAGCTCAGGGACAGCTGCAAGGGCCCTCCCGGCTGGTGGGAGGGGTTTTTCCGCTGTGGGCCACTGGCCAATATTTGTGGGTTTTCAAACCTAAAAATATGCTCTTTTAGAGTCAGAGCTTGAGAAATATGATCACCGTGTAACGCCATCAGGCTCGAGGGCACAGTGGAAGCGTCTGTGGTTTTCATACCTGGGGAGTCTGCCTCAGTCTCTCCAAGAGTTGCGGCCATCAGTCCACCAGTCTGCTTCCCCAGCCCCTCCTCAAATTCACAGCCTCTTAGGTTTCCCCAGAATGCCCAGGGCTGGTAGGCGGGGGACACACAGATACAGATCCCAGCATCTCTGCTTGAGCACCCAGCATGACTTCTCACCGGGGCAAACCCCTGAACCAGGGGTCTCACTCAGTGTGGTTGAATACCCACAGTGACAGGGAGCTTCCTAACAATGCCAGCTTTACATGTTGGGACACTTTTGCTCAGCGTGAGCCTAAGTCTCCCTCCCTGGGGTAATTTGGAAATCTTGGTAATAAGATCCTCACTCGGTGAGGATTGGCCAGAGTGCCGGATACGGTGCACTCTGCAACACTCTACCGAGGTGAGGTGGGTGTTCTGAGCCATCTCCTACCCATGGATGGAGAAACTGAGGCACAGAGAGGCAAGGAGGTCTGTCCTGCAGATGGTGCTGGTAGAGCTGCGGTTTGAAGTCTGGTAACGGATCCTCCCGACCCCCCACCCCCTTGCAGACCACCGTGCCGGCACCTGCTTCTCGGCGCTGATCGTGGGCCGCTGTGCCGGAGACCTCGCGGGCCACTATACCCATAGGCAGTGCTGCTGTGATACGGGCAGATGCTGGGCAGTTGGCCCGGCCCCTGAGCTGTGTCCGCCGCGGGGCTCTGGTGAGTGGCCTGGGGCCACCTCCCACCTTCCTCTGCCCCCAGAGCTTGGCCTGCGGTTTGGGATCCCGGGTCACAACCGAAGGCTTGGCCTCCAACCCCGCCTCCTTGCAGATGAGTTCCAGCGACTGTGTGCCCTGGGGCTCCCGCTGCTGCCCTCCTACCCAGGCCCCTTCCCCGGCCTCCCTGGCTTCGGATCCAGTGGGCGTGGGGTTCCCAGCCTGGGCCTTGGTGACACCAACATTGGTGAGGACTTGGGATCCAAGACTCCTCCCTTGGGGGAAGGGGGTCCAGGCCTCAGAGACAGAGAGTCAGGGCTTTGGAGTGTGGGCCCTGGCCTGGGCAGTAGGGATGAAAGTACTGACAGTGGTCTGGGGCTGGGGGTAGATTGGGGATCCAGGCCTCCAGGTCAGGGTTTGGGTTTTGGGTGAGGGTCTAGGGCTGGCGTGGGGGGCTGGGGGTCTCAGCCAGGGTGGAGGTGGGGCAGGACTCGGCTGAAGTGGGAGAACCTGGCCATAGGGGTAGGGTTCCAGCTTCTTGAGTGGGTGTCTGAACCCGGAGGTGAGGTCCAGACCCAGGGGGCCAGCACATGCTCGGGTGCCCCACGTCGGCCCTACTCACAGGCACAGCCACGCTGAACCAGACCATTGACATCTGCCGACACTTCACCAACCTGTGTCTCAATGGCCGCTGCCTGCCCACCTCTTCCAGCTACCGCTGCGAGTGTAACGTGGGCTACACCCAGGACGTTCGGGGCGAGTGCATCGGTGAGCAGCGGCTGGGGCAGGGGTGGGCTGGGGGCGGGGGAGCGCCCTGGCGGGCTGGGGCTCAGGGTCCTCTGCCTGCAGACGTGGATGAGTGTGCCAGCAGCCCCTGCCACCACGGAGACTGCGTCAACACCCCCGGCTCCTACCACTGCCGGTGCTGGGAGGGCTTTCAGGCGACGCTCACCAAGCAGGAGTGCGTGGGTATGGCCGTCCATCGGACAGTGGGGGTGACCGGGAGCCTGACTGATGGAACCTGCATCTGAATTAGAGCCTGGGGGCCAGGAGGACGCCTGCTGACTGCCCACCTGCCTCCCCACCAGACATGGACGAGTGCATCACCAGCAGTGGCCTCTGCCACCACGGCCGCTGCGTCAACACAGCAGGCAGCTTCCAGTGTGTCTGCAATGCAGGCTTCGAGCTCGGCCCCGATGGCAAGAACTGTGTGGGTGAGTTGAGGGTGAGCGGGTGGGGAAGTGGCTTCTGGGCCCCAGTAGCTGTCTTCTGCGTCTTGCCACTCGTGCTGCATCACCCACCTCCCTCCTCATGGTGGGTCCTCTGCTCCCCTTTCTGAGCCGAACCAGCCCATCTGAGATCTTCCTTGTGGTCTATCCAGCCCCTACTCACTCCTTCATTCTCTCCTTCCTGAATTCATACCCTGAATCCCAGGAAGGGGCCTTTGGGGTAAGACCATGCCATCAGCTGTCTGCATCTGCCTCTGCCCCTGACTCATGGCCCCTCACCTGTCCTCGAGAGAGTCTGGCCTCCGAGAGAGGTGGGTCAGGACCGTGGAGAGCGCCCCGATCTCAGGCTCCCTGTGGGGTATGGGGGTGCCACCCAAGCTCCCCACAGCTTGTAGGGGCCACCGGGGACTCCCTTTATTCTTTTCTGTCACCCTCTCTGAGGGGACCTGCCTTGTAGTCTTCCCTCATCAGGAAGGATTTTCTTCCTTTCATTCTTTTTTTTTTTTGCAGAGCATTTACTTTCTGTTGATTTTTAGATACGTTTAGAAAGTTGATTATTAAATTAGCTATTTTCTTAGCATTAACTTTAGGTATAGTAATTTATGTCTGTGCACAAATCATTATAATTTTTATTTGCATTGTTTTTTATTAGTTAGATATCACCTACTGAAAGTAATTTTGATTAATTCATTGTTTTATAATTTTACCATTGTCTTTTTTTTTTTTTAATTTTTGGCTGCTTTGGGTCTTCGTTGCTGCACACGGGCTTCTCATTGTGGTGGCTTCTCTTGTTGCGGAGCACGGGCTCTAAGCGCACAGGCTTCAGTAGCTGTGGCGCGTGGGCTCAGTAGTTGTGGCTTGTGTGCTCTAGAGCCCAGGCTCAGTAGTTGTGGTGCATGGGCTTAGTTGCTCTGAGGCATGTGGGAACTTCCCGGACCAGGGCTCGAACCCGTGTCGCCTGCATTGGTAGGTGGATTCTTAACCACTGCGCCACCAGGGAAGCCCTCCCGTCAAGTCTTTAATATTTCCTTCAGATCTCTGCATAGTCTGTAACCAGTAAGAGTTGAAATCCTTAATCAGTGTTTTTCTTGGTACATATAAATTTTATTTTTTTAATTTATTTTTTGTAGTTGAAGTATAGTTGATTTACAATGTTGTGTTAGTTTCAGGTGTACAGCAAAATGATTCAGTTATACATGTATCTATTCGTTTTCGGATTCTTTTCCTTTATGGGTTATTATAAAGTATTGAGTATAGTTCCCTGTGCATTCTTTCTTTTTTTTTTTAAATTAATTAGTTTACTTTTTGGCTGTGTTGGGTCTTCGTTTCTGTGTGAGGGCTTTCTCTAGTTGTGGCAAGCGGGGGCCACTCTTCATCGCGGTGCGCGGGCCTCTCACTATCGCGGCCTCTCTTGTTGCATAGCACAGGCTCCAGACGCACAGGCTCAGTAGTTGTGGCTCACGGGCCTGGTTGCTCTGCGGCATGTGGGATCTTCCCAGACCAGGGTTCGAACCCGTGTCCCCTGCATTAGCAGGCAGATTCTCAACCACTGCGCCACCAAGGGAAGCCCTCTTTCATTTTTTAAAAAACCTTCTTAGCATCTTTATTGATATATCATTCCATACCATACGAGTGGCCATTTAAAGTGTCCACTTCAATGGCTTTTAGTACGAGCACCACCACAATCTAAGTTTAGAACCTCTTTATCACCTCCTCTCCATTAGCCGTCATTCCAGAATCCTCTCTCTTCCCCCCCAGCCCTCGGCACTAGGCTGATTGAATTTCCGTCTCCATGGATTTGCCTGTTCGGGGCGTTTGGTATAAATGGAATCACGTACTCCGTGGCCTTTTGTGACTGGCTTCTTTCACCGAGCATCATGTTTTCAAGGTCCACCCGTGTTGTAGCAGTTGTCAGAACGTCATTCCTTTTTATTGTCAGATGACATTCCATTATAGGAGTAGGACCACATTTTGTTTATACATCATCAGTTAATGGCTATTTGGGTTGTTTCCACTCTTTGCTGTTGTGGATAAAGCTGCTGTGAATGTTCATGTACAAGTTTTGGTGTGGACCTTTTCTTCATTTCTTCTTTCCTTTCCTTCCCTCCCTCCCTCCCTTCTTTCCTTCCTTTCTTCTGGTACAGTCCTTTATTGTCCAAAACTGATACTTTGGTAAACAAATCATTTCTTCACCCACCGCCTTCCTTTAAATTAGACTGTTTTCTTCTCAGCTGACGGTTTTTGCCCTTTTCTTTTTAAATTCAAGTGAGATTCACGCAAGATAAATTTAACCATTTAAAAGTGAAAAATTCAGTGGCGTTTATTTAGTAGTTCCCAATGTTGTGCACCCACATTTATTCAATTTTTTTCTGCAGGAAAGTGAACGTAGCATTTTTAAGTGAACAGTTTGGTGGCACTCAGGATATTTCCAAGGTCGTGCAACAACCATCTCATTTATGCAATTCTTTTTTGCATTTTTAAAAATCGTGGCACAATATACATAGTGTACAATTTACCATTTAACCCTTTTTTTTTCTTTTCCATTATAGTTTATTACAAGATATTGAATATATAGTTCCCTGGGCTATACAGTAGGACCTCGTTGTTTATCTATTTTATGTACAGTAGTGTGTATCAGCTCCATTCCTACCCTTTTTTTAAAAATTTTTATTTATTTTTGGCTGTGTTGGGTCTTCGTTGCTATGAGCAGGCTTTCTCTACTTGCGGTGAGCAGGGGCTACTCTTCGCTGCCGTGTGCAGGCTTCTCATTGCGGTGGCTTCTCTTGTTGCAGAGCACGGGCTGTTGGTGCGCAGGCTCCAGTAGTTGTGGCATTCAGGCTCAGTAGTTGTGGCTCGCGAGCTTTAGAGCACAGGCTCCATAGTTGTGGTGCACGGGCTTAGTTGCTCCAATGTGGGATCTTCCCGGACCAGGGCTTGAACCCATGTCCCCTGCATTGGCAGGCAGATTCTTAACCACTGCGCCACCAGGGAAGCCCCCTACCCTTTTTAAAGGAACAGTTTGGTGGCATTTACTACATTCATAAAGTCATGCAAACAGTACCTCATTTTTTCCATTTTTTTTGCGTTTTTCATTGTGGTGAAATATACATAACATAGTTACCATTTTAACCATTTTTAAAGGAACAGTTGGTGGTATTTAGTGCAATGTTGTGTAACCTCCACACCTCACGTATTCGACTTTGAGCAACTATTTATAGAGCAGCTATGGTGTGCCAGGATGGAAGATGCAGACTCGAGCTAGTGGCCCCAGTCTTGCCCCAGGGGAGTTCACACTCCAGCAGTTCACTATATCCAAGCCGACATAGTCCCCGACAGTCACATTTTGTCCTGTCAGGCTCGAACTGCCCTGGGAAGGGCCCCTGGAAAAGCGAGGGGGCGGGGCTGGTCTACCAGGCAGGGCTGGCCCAAAGAGGGGTGACTGCTGGGACCCTGCTGGGAACCAGCCTCTCCCGGTGTCCCCAGACCACAACGAGTGTGCCACCACCACCATGTGTGCCAACGGAGTGTGCCTGAACGAGGACGGCAGCTTCTCGTGCCTCTGCAAACCCGGCTTCCTGCTGGCGCCCGGTGGCCGCCACTGCGTGGGTGAGGCTGGAGGCTGGACCACAGGGGAGTGATGGGGATTGGGGAGGAAGAGGTGAGGGGAGGCGGCAAGGGCAGGTGGCGGGGGACTGGGACCTGTCGCAGTCGCCCACGGCCCCCCGCAGACATCGACGAATGCCAGACACCGGGCATCTGTATGAACGGCCACTGTACCAACACCGAGGGCTCCTTCCGCTGCCACTGCCTGGGGGGGCTCGCGGTGGGCGCTGATGGCCGCGTGTGCGTGGACACCCACGTGCGTAGCACGTGCTACGGGACCCTCAACGAGGGCTCTTGTGCCCGCCCCTTCCCCGGTGCCGTCACCAAATCCGAGTGCTGCTGTGCGAGCCCCGACCACGGGTTTGGGGAGCCCTGCCAGCTGTGTCCTGCCAAGAACTCCGGTGAGGGTCGGCTGCCCCACGTCCACCCGCTTTCCTTTAGTTCTTGCTTCTAGTTGATCACCCAGGGGGCAGGAGGGGACAGTGAGGGGGGGGCTTGGCTCCTATGGGGTGGGGGGGGTGGGGATTTCTCTCCCCAAGAAGGCACGGAAGGAAGTTGCTCTTCCCATTGGGGGGGGGCATCTTAGTCCCAGACCCTCGCTCGTCTCCAAGGGGCCACGTCTTGGGCGTGGTTTGGGTTCGGCAATGGCCACTGACCCCTCTCGCTCTGCTTCCGCCACTGCAGCCGAGTTCCAGGCCCTGTGCAGCAGCGGTCTTGGCATCACCACGGATGGCAGAGGTGAGCGGGGCAGTGCTGGGACAGAGGGGTGGGGTCGTGGTTGGGCACTGTCATGTCGCTGGGGCTGCCGTAACAAAGTACCACAGGCTGGGAGGCTTCAACAACAGACGTTTATTCTCCCACGGCTCTGGAGAGGCTAAAAGTCCGAGATCAAGGTGTAAGCAGGGATGGCTCTTTCCGGGGCTGTGAGGGAGAGTCTGTCCTGTGCCTCTCCCACAGCTTCTAGCACTTCACTCTTAAATCCTCAGCTGGCAGAAGCATCACCCCGATCTCTGCGTTCATCTTTTTTTTTTTCTTAAGTTTACAATGTTGTGTTAGTTTCAGGTGTACAGCAGAGTGATTCAGTTATACATACATATCTCTTCTTTTTCGGATTCTTTTCCCTTATAGGTTATTAAAAATATTGAGTTCCCTGTGCTATACCGTAGTCCTTGTTGGTTATCTGTTTTATATATAGTATTGAGTATGCTATTCCCAAACTCCTAATTCATCCTTATGCCCTCTGTCTTCATCTTTTTTTTTTTTTTTTAAGTTTACAATGTTGTGTTACTTTCAGGTGTACAGCAGAGTGATTCAGTTATACATACATATCTCTTCCTTTTCGGATTCTTTTCCCTTATAGGTTATTAAAAATATTGAGTTCCCTGTGCTATACCATAGTCCTTGTTGGGTATCTGTTTTATATATAGTATTGTGTATGCTATTCCCAAACTCCTAATTCATCCTTATGCCCTCTGTCTTCATCTTTTTTTTTTCACGCCGTGCAGCTTGCGGGATCTTAGTTCCCCGAGCAGGGATGGAACCCGTGCCCTCGGCAGTGAAAATGCAGAGTCCTAACCACTAGACCACCAGGGAATTACCCCTCTGCCTTCCCCTTGACATGGGGTTCTCCTTGTGTGTCTGTGCCCAAATTTCCCCCTTTTATAAGGATACAGTCATATTGGAATGGATTGCGGGTCCACCCTAATGAACTCGTTTTAACTGGATCACCTCTGTAAAGTCCTTGTCTCCAAATAAAGTCACATGCTGAGATCCTGGGGGTTAGGACTCCAACCTGTGACACCATCCCTTCCTGAAACAGCCTTTCTGCCTGAGCAAGAAATAAAGATTTCCCATCCACTGCTAGGCCATCAGGGCAGGACAGATGTCCACCCCTCCCCCACCCCCTGTCAGTTAAAGGGACAGATTCTGGAGCCAGATGCGTGGGTTCGAATCCTGGCCCTACTATTTATTGATTGAATAACCTCAGGCAAGTTACCTACCGTCTCTGTGCCTCCTTGTCTGTACAGTGGAGATAACGATAAGACCCATTTCAGGGATGGTGTGAGGATCAAATGAGCTAATACGCTTGGCACAAAATAGTAAACATCCTATAATGGTAGTGATTATGATTGCACTTTTTTTTGCAAAATTATGTCGCTGCCGTATAAACATCTGTTCCGTGAGTTCCAAACTGGGGACAGTTTTGTCCCCCCTCCCGAGGGGCCATTTGACAATGTCTGGACAGATATTGGGGAGGGTGCTACTGGCACCTCCTGGGTAAGGCTGGGAATACTGCTCAACATCCTACAATGCACAGGACGCCCCCCGTCACAGCAAAGGATGATCTGGCCCCAAATATCCACAGTGCTGAGAAACCCTGGTTTCAAGGGGAAGGAGGCAGGGTCTAGGCTGGAGCTCTGGCCCCGGGGAACATGGCTTCTGGAGCCTCCAGGGAGCCAGGGAAGCTGCTGACGGCCTCCTCCTGGTGCAGACATCAACGAGTGTGCCCTCGATCCTGATGTCTGTGCCAACGGTATGTGTGAGAACCTGCGGGGCAGCTACCGCTGCATCTGCAACCTGGGCTACGAGGCAGCCGCAGCCGGCAAGGAGTGCATGGGTGAGCGTGCCCGGCAAGTGGACGGGCAGGTGGGTGGGCCGCCCCCACTGCACACCCCTCACCCCGCTCTCCCCCCCTCACCCTGCAGATGTGGATGAGTGTGCACTCAACAGCCTCCTGTGTGACAACGGGTGGTGCCGGAACAGCCCTGGCAGCTACAGCTGCTCCTGCCCCCAGGGCTTCAGCTTCTGGCAAGACACAGAGACCTGCGAAGGTACAGGGCCGCGGGGCACACAGCCACGCACACATACACGCAGATACTTATGCACGCTGCGTGCTCTGGGTACACACATGCTCAAAGACGCATGTATACCTGCATTCACGCACACAGACACGCTCAAAGGCATACATGTATTCACACTCAGTCTCACGGTTACACACACTCATAGGTACACACACAATACCCACATTCACACACTTATTCTCACACTTTACACGCATGCTCACAGCCGCAGTTACACCCTCAAAGGCACACTCTTATGCAGACACTCAGACCCTCCGACATTCACACATGTGTGCATATGATCACTCAGTCACACACCGGTACTCACACAAAACACACTCACATACCCATATTCACACTCACAGACATTCCCACAGCCACACACCCTCACGTGCACACTCTCAAAGATATGTGTGTGCCCACGTTCTTTCACTCACCCTTTCACACACTTAGGCTCAGCCACACACACTTACGTGTGCAGTCACACACACCCTCACATACCTGCACAGTTGTGCACTCACATGCTCATACACACTCACGCTTATACACGAATACGTGCCCATCCTCCCTCTCCTACACGTGCAGTCACTGACATACACATGTTCAAGTGTGCATGCTCGCCATTGCCCACACACACGTTGTTGTGATGACCTTGCCCATCGCATAGATCCCTTGGCACTCACAGATGCCGGCGCGCGCGCACCCGCACACAGTCACGCACAAGCTTTTTGTCTGGCCCCACCCCTCCCCTGGTCCTTTGTCTTCTTTCCAGCTGACACCCCTCCCCCACCCTGGCCACACCCAGGCCTCCATCCCCTCTGGGTTTTCCTCCTGCCTCTCACCTGTCTTGTGCCATGACCGACCCTTTGAGGGCCACAGTTCCCCACCGTGCCTGTCCCTCTGCACTTTTACCTGTGTGCGCTCCCAGGACCCTGCACGTCAGCGTGCTTGTGCAGGTGCACAAGACGATTCGGTGCAAACTCACGTGCGTCTGAGCCTGAGCAGTCCGTTCCTTGTATTCTGACCGCTTGCGCCCCCTGCCTCTGGACTTTGGCAGCCGTGGGGAGGAGGGGCCCCTGGTCAGGTGGGGCTCCCCCTCCTGCAGCTCAGGACTCACTGTGGAGTGGGGCGGCGGGGGGGGCTGTCCCTGCAGACATCGACGAGTGCCTGTCCAATCCGTGTGTGAACGGCGTGTGCCGCAACCTGGCCGGCTCCTACGCCTGCGAGTGCGCCCCCGGCAGCCGCCTGGGACCCTCCGGCACCGTGTGCTTAGGTGAGAGGCCCCACGGAGCAGCGGGGACCCCGACGCCCCGGAGTAGGCTGGGTCTATGCGGGTCGGCGTGCAGGTGTGGGCCCGCCAGGTGAGACAGCAAGCCCCTCCCCGCAGACAGCACCAAAAGCACCTGCTGGCTAAAGGTCCAGGATGGCCGCTGCGAGGCGAACCTGCACGGAGCCACCCTGCGGTCCGAGTGCTGCGCCACGCTCGGGGCTGCCTGGGGGAGCCCCTGCGAACGCTGTGACATGGGTAATGCCCTGAGGGGGGGCTCCGGGGGCTCCCACGCCATCGGGACAACTGGGGGGGGGACAGATCCCCTGTGTTTGAGTGGAGAGAGTGACTCGTCTCCCCATCCACAGACCCCGCCTGTGCCCGTGGTTTCGCCCGCGTGAAGGGGCTCAGCTGTGAAGGTAACCCCCATCCCCACCCTCTTCGGTTCGCCCTCCAAGCCACGCGTGGACGAGTGTCATGGGGGCTGCCTGGGGCCCCTCCCTGAAGTCATTTGAGATCGAGACATTCTCCCTCCTTGGTACCTGGGTCTTCCCCGCGATCTGCCAGCCCGAGGCTGGCACTGCCCCTTCCCCCTCCCCAAGGACCACGTGGTGTCCTGAGGCCCCAGGGGAACAGCTTCTGGGAGCCTCCAGCCCTTGCCTCTCCTCCTTGTCTGCTGCTGCCCAGATGTGAACGAGTGTGAGGTCTTCCCGGGGGTCTGTCCCAATGGGCGCTGCCTCAACACCGCTGGCTCCTTCCACTGCGAGTGTCTTGAGGGCCTGACGCTGGATGCCACGGGCCGGCTGTGCGTGGGTGAGTGCGGGCTGGGTCCCCACGCAGGGCCCCCTGCCCTTCATTGCCTCCACTCCCGGCGGCTGGAGACCCCTCCTAGGAACAAGTGGGATCTCGGGGTTCCTCCAGGACCCTCTGCTCACTGCCCACCTCCTGCCCACGTGTCTCCAAAGACATTTGTTTTGGGGGATGCATCTTCTCAACTGCCCTTCTAAGGAAGCTCATTGCAGATGGCAAAGTCTCGTGGAATAATACTTGCAACCTTCGTTTATTCTTTCTCGTTAGCGAGTAAGGTTTACACGGGGGGATTTGAGCAGGAGGTGCCTCTAGCATGAGTGCTAAGTGATGCTGGTGAACCTTCCTCAGCGTCCAGGGCTCAAACCCTCACCCTGAATGGCTTACCCTCAGTCTCAAAGGCTCTGAGATATTTTCCCCCTCGATGAGGGCTTCTTGCTTTGTCCCTATCAACATCTCGAACAGGACATTTCTTGGCCAAAAGCATGTACCGGCCAGCAGGTAGTGCTCCGAGTTCTATCAGCTTTTCCTCCTGTAGTCCCATCAATCCATTGGTAGCCTCCTCGGGGTCACCTTGGAGCCTGGCCAACATCAGGCAGATGGGCCCTGATGACCCTTCTCAACTTCGATTTCCTTCTAAACTGAGCTTCAGGTGTGCAGCGGGTCTTCTTGCTGATTCCAAAAGGTGAGCAAGGAAAGAAAGTAACTGAGTAAAGAGAAAAAAGCCATTGCTGAATTCACGGCCAGGTGAAATGGCTCAGTCTGGTCAGCCCTGGACCAAGCCACCGGGTACACGGGAACTTAAGACTGATCCCTGTGTGTCACGGCGCTTCTGCTTATCTTTATCTTTTCCTAAAGATTCTGTAACAGGGTCTTGTCCTCAAATGGACCCCCTTAAACGTATGTTCCTTTTGTAAAGAGTGAGAAGTTGTCTTAGACCAGGGATCAGCCAGCTGTTTCTGCAAATGTTTTCAGCTTTTGGGACCTCACAGTCTGTTGCAGCTACTCAGCTCTGCCGTGTAGTGTAAGAACACCCACAGACAGTACAGAAACAAATGGATGTGGCTGTGTGTCAATAAAACTTTATTTACAAAAACAGGAGGCTGGCACCCCAGGCCGCAGTTAACTAGCCCCATTCTTAGACCCTCATGTCTGGTGCCGAGGAAGGCTTATCCACTCCCAGATTATTCTAAGGGAGTTTTACAGGTTAAACACACACACTCTGGAGCCAGATGGTCTGGTTTGAACCCCGCTCTACCTCTTACTAACTGGCCTCAGGTCAGCTACCTAACCCTTCTCTGCCTCAGTTTTCTTGCCTGTAAAATGGGCATGATGATAATATTTTCCTCTTGGTGTTATTTTGAGGATTCAATGGATTGATGAGCTTAGAACAGTGCCCATCACATAGCAAGCACCCAGCAGTGCAAGTTATTATAGTGTAACTTTTGGATGATACCATTATTCAAATGTAACTATTGGATGATATCATTTTTAAAATGTAACTGTTGGGAATTCCCTGGTGGTCCAGTGGTTAGGACTCGGTGCTCTCACTGCTGGGGGCCCCAGGTTCGATTCCTGGTCAGGGAACTAAGATCCCACCAGCCACGCAACGCTGCCAAAAAAAAAAAAAAAAAGAAGTATTGGATGATATCGAATCTCAGCATAAGGAAGTCACTCTTCCCGTTGGGGAGGAAGTTTCAGAAGAAGCTGCTGAAGGAGGCTCTAATGCCTGTCCTGGCAGGCACAGTGTAGCAGGGGCAGGACTGGTGACTGCCCCTCCTTGCAGATGTGCGCCTGGAGCTTTGTTTCTTGCATTGGGATGAGGATGAATGTGGGGCCGCCCTGCCCGGCAAGTACCGGATGGACGTCTGCTGCTGCTCCTTGGGAGCCGCGTGGGGGGCCGCGTGCGAGGCGTGCCCTGAGCCTGAGTCCCCAGCGTTTGCCAGCCTGTGTCCCCGGGGGCTGGGCTTTGCCAGCCGGGACTTCCTCTCAGGCCAGCCCTTCTATAAAGGTGTGTTTGGGCTCAGGGAACCTGGTGGATGGGGAGAGGGCACAGCGTGGGTAGAGGCCTGGAGGTGGGACGTGTGTTTGGGAGAGAGCAAACATCTGTGGCCAGAGGGGTGAACGCTCAGGAGGTGGGGACCCAGAGACATCGGGGCGGCGTGACATTTTGTGCTCCCATGCTGCAGATGTGAACGAGTGCAAAGCCTTCCCCGGGCTGTGTGCACACGGCACCTGCCGCAACACCGTGGGCAGCTTTCGTTGCTCTTGTGCTGGGGGCTTTGCCCTGGATGCCCAGGAAAGGAACTGCACAGGTACGTGCCCGCATCTGCCTTCTGGGCAGTTGGGGGGCGCCTACAGGGATGGGGGCCATGAACTAGAGGCACCTGAAAGACAAGAACTGGCCTTTTCCTGCCTGTCTACCTGCCTGCTCTGTGACCGAGGACAGCTCAACACCCTCTCTGGGCCTTCGGGATCCCAGCTATAAAAGGAGGGGCTGGTAGAGGTGGCCTCCAGGCTGGAAGGAAATTCCCTACCCTCGTCTGGGGTGCAGTCACGGCACCTCTGTTAACCTGGGTTCAGCAGCTTGGGGCTCCTGTGCACCCCTGGGTGTTTGCAGATGTGGAGGCCCGGCCCGTGCCCACTCTCTCCACAGACATTGACGAGTGCCGCATCTCCCCTGACCTCTGCGGCCAGGGCACCTGCGTCAACACTCCGGGCAGCTTCGAGTGTGAGTGTTTCCACGGCTACGAGAGTGGCTTCATGATGATGAAGAACTGCATGGGTAGGCAGCCACCCCAGGCAGGGTGATGCTCGGCGGTCTCGGGGCCGAGCCGAGGGATGGGGGTGACATTGCTGTGATGGATGTAGGTGGAGGGGGCCAGAGTGGGGAGAAGCCATGATCCAGCTGGGACACAGCGAGTGTGGGCGTCATCCCTGTAGGCTGCTGGACATGGGGTGTGGCAGTCAGATGAGAAGCCTGGGAACCAAGATTCGGGCAGGCCTCCCCGGGGGCTCGTAGCATGAGAAGAGGAGGGGGCCCGGGACAGAGGAGCCTCTTCCCCTTTCCTTCACTTTTTCATTCAGTGAACATTTCATGTGCATCTACTCAGGGGAACCACAGAGAGCTCGGCAGCAGAGGGCCATTTTCTCTGAGCTCGTGACCTAATGGGGAGATAGATGTTTAATAAAATAAATCTCCAGACAAATGCAAAATAAACAGCCACTGTCACAAGCACTTGAAAGGGCCATATGGTGCAGCGGGAGCGCAGACCCCTAGGATGCATCCCATTCTGTGGGGCTGAGAGAGTGGGAGTAACTGGGGTGAAGAGGGGCTGAAGAGCGGCTTGAAGAAAGAACAGTGCATGCAAAGGCCCTGGGGTGGACGTGAAGGATAGAAGGAGCTGCTGTGTGGAGGGCCGGGTGGGAGGGGGAACAGCACCTGAGGGGTGGAAGGAGGCCCGTGAGGCTGGAGTGGGAGGAGAGTGGGGGTGGGTGGTGAGGTCCCCCACTCCCTGTGCTGATGCCTGGAGGGGCTGGGACTTGCCTTCCCTCTGTGTCCTCCAGGGGGCGCTTCTCAGGGCCTCCTTCAGCTCCAGGAGTGTCAGCCTGTGTCCCTGATAATTCTGAGAATTCCAGCTTCCCTCCCAGTCTGACTCCCATGGGTCACCCAAGTCCCAAAACTCCAGGCCCTTTCGGCTTCAGCCAGGGTGACAGGGTTGGGGGAGAGGGGCACAGGGAGAAGCTTCCACAAGCCACATCACACCCTGCCAGGTCAATGTCCTCACACCTCCTCTCTCTCTCTCCACACGCCCAGACGTGGATGAGTGTGCCCGGGACCCACTGCTGTGCCGGGGAGGCACCTGTACCAACACAGATGGGAGTTACGAGTGCCAGTGCCCCGCTGGACATGCGCTGGTGGCCAAGGGCACTGCTTGTGAGGGTGAGTGTGGGTTGCATGAGGGAGATGATGGGAGTGTGTGTTTGTGCATCTCCCTCAGTACATACTTATGTATATGTGTGCACACGTGTGTCAGTCTCTATGCATGTGAGCGGTCGCATGCATGAGGTAGCATGGGTGCAGGTCATTGTGTGTCCGTGTGATATGACGTGAGGCGGAGGAAGTGTGTATTTGTGTGTCTGTGTGAGCATGCAGGTGTGTATCTGGGAATGTGTACAGGAGTGAGTGTGTGCATGGGTGTTTATATGTGAGTCTGAGCGTGTGTCTACACAAGGATGCGTGTTCTTATGTGAGGGGATGTGGTGTTTGTGCATCTAATGAGCTTGTGAGAGAATGTGTGTCTAGGTGTGGATGTGTGTTTGCACACGGGTGGGTGTGTTTGTGAATGGGGCTGTGTGCATGTGGGTGTGGGTGTGTGTCGAGGGTGAGTGTGTTTGCATATGAGTGGGTATGAGGTGTATTTGTGAGTCTTATGAGTGTGCATGTGGCTGTGAAGGTGTGTCTACTGAGGGTGATTGTGTTTGCATGTGAGTGGGTGTGAGGGTGTGTTTGTGTGTGAGCTGTGTGCACGTAGGTGCATGGATCAGGGTGTGGGTGTTATCTGCTGCGGGTGTGTGTATTCAAGGGTGTGTTTTGGGTGAGTCTTGTGGGTGTGCACGTGGGTGTGCACGTGGTCTTGTGGGTGTGCACGTGTGTGGGCACGTGGATCTGGGTGTGGGTGCGTGTTTGTACAAGGGTGAGGTGTGGACTCACACCTGTGGTGGCGTGTGGATGCCAGGATCATGAATGTATCGGAGTGCACACGTGTCCCAGTGCCTCGGGGTCTTGCAGATGGCGGCTGAACACAGGCCGGGCCTTCCTGGGGCCCCTCCCCTACCTGCTGTCCCCACCAGCCATGTGCTCCCCCTGCAGACGTTGATGAATGCTCCCTGAGTGACGGCCTGTGTCCCCACGGCCAGTGCGTCAACGTCATCGGTGCCTTCCAGTGCTCCTGCCACGCCGGCTTCCAGAGCACACCTGACCGCCAAGGCTGCGTGGGTGAGACCGCGCCCGCCCCCAGCCCCAGCCGAGGCCCCCACTACCACAGCAGTCTCTCTCCAAGTCCCTGCCTCTGCTGGCCCCGCCCCCTAGTCAGACCCCTGCTTGACCCGCCCCCGCCACGCCCCCACCTCGCTCCCACCTCCCCCTGCCTCCCGTCCCACGACGCCCCTACCTCGCTCCCGCCATGCCCCGCCTCGCCCTGCCTCCCGCCCCGCCGCGCCCACCCACCTCACTCCCGCCACGCCCCCACCTCGCCCTGCCTCCTGCCCCGCCACGCCCCCACCTCGCTCCCGCCATGCGCCTACCTCGTCCTGCCTCTCGCCCTGCCTCTCGCCCTGCCATGCCAACCCACCTCGCTCCCACCACACCCCACCTCGCCCTGCCTCCCACCCCGCCACGACCCCCACCTCACTCCCGCCACGACCTCTACCTCGCCCTGCCTCCCGCAGATGTGGACGAATGCCGCTCTGGGAACGGTGGGTGCCACGTGCACTGCATTAACACCGAGGGCAGCTACCGGTGTGGCTGCGGACACGGCTACTCGCTGATGCCTGATGGGAGGGCGTGTGCAGGTGGGTGGGCGCGGCCCCCTCCCTCCGCGTGGGATGGGGAACACACCTTTCCTGACCCAGACGCAGCCGGCCAGACCCGGGACAGGCCGCTGACCCTGCAGCAGGGTCCCTGGGACTCCCCCTCCATCCCTGCCTGCCTGCAGCCCAGCCCCCCACCCTGCTCCCCCAGACGTGGACGAGTGTGAGGAGAACCCGGACATCTGTGACGGGGGCCAGTGCATCAATGTGCCGGGGGGTCACCGCTGCCTCTGCTACGACGGCTTTGTGGCCACGCTGGACATGAGGACGTGTGTAGGTGAGGAGCTGGGACTACATACAGGTGGAGGAGGCAGCTTCACAATTCACCCACCAGGCCTTCCACAAGGAGGCCACGTGGGCAAGACAGACGACAGTCCCATCCCCGTCACACGCGGGCAGGGGAGATGAGGCTTTGCACTTGGCAGTCTGCTCCTGGCCACCTGTGCCTAGAGCCCCTGCACCAAGACCCGTGGGATCTCATTCACAGCAGCAGAGGCCCTTGAACCTTGTTATTTTATGAACAGTTATCGAACACTTACCGTATACCCAGTGCATGCAGAGGCGTGTGCCCTGTTCTGAAAGCAGTGTATCGGATCACTGCAGACCAAGGGGTTTTCTGCAGAGGAAGGTGAGCTAGATGGAAAGACACTGTATTCTCTGAGCCCTGCTTGGGGATCCAAGCTGTTTGGGCCGTGATCACCGTCCTGTCCTGGCTGCAGGTCATCACGGGGCCCAGGGAGCAGATGTCTACTGGGTGCCCCATCAGGGCAGAGCTGGGGCCAGTGTGAGGAAGTACCAGGAAGTAAAAAACATAACCCTCCCAGGGAGATGTGTCCAGCCCAGGACAGCTTAAAGCATTCCCGATCACAGGTGTCTTAGGAAACACTGAAGAAAAGAGGGCTTAGGACCAAGTTAAATAGGAAATGCTGCTTCCTCCATCCCTTCTTGCAGATCCACGTTGGCATAAAGGCTCTGAAAAGGCCTGCAGGAGAAAAAAATCCAGTTAGCTTTGTTTAACTCAGCGTTGTCTAAATGTATTGGTATAAAATCCTTTTGGGAATGCATGTCCGGTGTGTTCCACGGAATATGTGCTGTAGACTGTTGACTGAACATTCGCGGCTGCCCAGCGGTGGAATTGGGGGAGTTCCCCACCCCTGAAGATGGGCAAAGAGAACCCCGATGCAGGGGACCCATGTGGCAGGGCACTTAGCAATGCTGCTGCATCCCCACCCTCACCTGCTTCCTCTCTTGTCATCCCACAGACGTGGACGAGTGTGACCTGAACCCCTACATCTGCCTCCATGGGGTCTGCGAGAACACAAGGGGTTCCTTTGTCTGCCACTGCCAGCTGGGTTACGTCGTCAGGAAGGGGGCCACGGGCTGCTCCGGTGAGCTGGTGGTCAGTGGAGCAGGCGAGGGGGCCCTCGAGGGGCCAACTTAGGGTTCATGGGGTCTGCCCCATCCCTTGGAACAGAGTACAGCCAGACCTCATTCTTACACACTTCCACTGGTGGGGCCTCACGTTAAAGCAAAACGTAGGATCCGATCACGTGCCCCTGGGGCTCCCTTAACAGCTCTGCCGGGGGGAGCTCTGGGTCCCTTTGTATGCACACCAGTTCCCAGAGCATGCTAGCCTGATGCTCTTAAGTGGTACAGGGATGAACATTTAAACACTTTCGTAGTTCTTGTTTTAGCCTCCCAGGATTGCTGAACCCCCTGACCACAAACCTGGTGCCTCAGAACCACAGAAATCTACTCTCTCTAGAATTAAGAGTTCTGGAGGCCAGAGTCTGAAATCATAGTGTCGGCAGGATTGGTTCCTTCTTGGGGCCCCAGAGGGAGAATCTCTCCCATCCTTCTCTCCTCGCTTCTCGTGGTGCCCATTGGTCCTTGGCATCCTTGAACACACCATTCCAATCTCCACGTCCATCATCACAGGGTGTTCTCCTCTCTGTGTCCAAATTTCCCTCTTCTTATGAGGACACCAGTCATTGGTTTTGAACCCACTGTAATCCAGGATGACCTCATCTGATTTTGGTTACACCTACAAAGACCCTATTTCCAAAAAAGGCCACATTCAGAGGTTCTGGGAGTTAGGATTGGAACACATATTTTTGGGAGAACATAATTCTACCTGCCATAATTGCATAGTTATTTTAATGCACACTGGAAAGAAACCTTGGAAAACAGTATCAAATCCGTGATTTCTTAGAGATCGTTGTTATTTTTCTTTTAAAATACGTTCACGTGAGTAAAAATGGGAGGCAGTGTAAAGAAACTTTCAGCGAACAGCAGTTCATTTAGGCGGTGTATGAACGTGGCCGAGATAAGTGTGATGCAAAATTGGTTGAGGATTAGACACACGGCTTTAGAAGGAAATTCTGCTTTAGAGAGGGAGCGTGTGCATTAGGACAGTTCCTCTTAGCGTCTGCCCTAAGTCTCTCAAGCTGCCATTTCAGGGCGCTTCTGGGAGTCATGCCCTGTTGGGTTTGGGGGTTTTCCTCTTGGGCTCTGGGTGAAGGTGGAAGCTCCCGCAGTGGTGTGGGGACATGTCTGGGCCAGCCCTGCCCTAGGGAAGATCCTTGCTCTCTCCCTTGCTCCTGCACTGAGTCTTGCCACTCTGTACCTGAAGCCCTATTTCTACTGGGCCCAGGTTTCCCGGGGGTGTTGCATCCTCCACCCCCTCTCCTGGTCCTGCCCCTCCTATGCCTGGGTCCCTCTCCTCTCAGATGTGGACGAATGTGAGCTTGGGGGACACAGCTGTGATGGTCACGCCTCCTGCCTCAACGTCCCTGGGAGTTTCAGCTGCAGGTGCCAGCCAGGCTGGGTGGGGGATGGCTTCGAATGCCACGGTGAGTGCCTGAGGGCAGGAGGTCCGGGCAAGAGCTGTAGAGGTAGGTGGGGCGGTGCAGGGGGAGGCAGGTGGCAGGGAGGGGTGACTGGGCTCAGGCATGTCCAGGGGGGCCGGTCAGGGCTGGGGTTGGAGGGTCTGCCTCCCTGCAGCCCCTCAGTGCACACACCCAGGGGACTCCGGGTCCCATCTCCTGCAGACCTGGATGAATGCGCCTTCCAGGAGCATGGGTGCAGCCCGAGAGCTGACTGCCTCAACACCCCCGGCTCCTACCGCTGTGCCTGCCCCCCGGGCTTTGCTGGGGACGGCTACTTCTGCGAAGGTGAGGTCAGGGGTTAGGATGGGAGGGCTGGAGGGGCCCGAGAGGCACAGCCATGGGGGCTGGATTCCAAGGTGGCCACAGTGGTCAGTTGGCTTCCCGACTTGCACTGATCCACCCACCCACCCCGTGGGTGCCGGAGAGGACATGCCTTCAGCATTTGGGGCCACAGGCCAGAGCCTGAGTCCCTGGAGGCAGTCTTCTCCCCTGGACTCAGAATGCATGGAGCCTTATGGATGTGGGGAACAGGAGAACTTGCTTACTTCCTGGTGGCCCTCCACCCCAGATCCTGAGTGACCAGGTCCCCTCTCTGCTCCCTGGCCCTGACTTGGTCACCTGCCCTCCAAGTTCCCCGGGCTACTTGCCAGCTCCCTGGAACCCTGGGTGACTGAAGGATTTGAATGACAGGGGCCACCTGCCCACCCTGAGTGGGTCCTGGCCAGCTGACCCCCAGCCCTCTGTCTCTGGGTCCCCTTAGACAGGGACGAGTGTGCGGAGAATGTGGACCTTTGCGAGAATGGGCAGTGTCTCAATGCCCCCGGGGGGTACCGCTGTGAATGCGAGATGGGCTTCAACCCCACAGAGGACCAGCACGCCTGCCAGGGTGAGGTCTGGGGCTGCTGGGGTGTGGGCGGGTCCCTGGAGCCGCTGGCACTGGGGGTGACAGGAGCAGGATGCCAGGTGGGCTGGGCTGCGCTGAGCTGGGGTCCCCCCCCCCAGATGTGGACGAGTGTGTTCTCGGGAACCTGTGTGTGTTTGGGAGCTGTGAGAACCTGCCAGGCATGTTCCGCTGCGTCTGCGATGAGGGCTACGAGCTGGACCGTGGAGGCGGCAACTGCACAGGTGTGGGGTCCGTGGGGCTGGGGAGGGGACGTGTAGCTCATGTGTCCCAAACAGGGTTCAGCAGTAAATATTTTCAGGTTTCGGCCATACAGTCTCTGCCCTGTTGCTCAGAAACAGACACAGGCAATAAGTGAATGAATGAGCGTGCCTGTGTGCCAATAAAACTTTATTCACACAAACAGATAGGGGGCCGGATTTGGCCCACAGGTTGTAGTCTGCCAGCCCCTGGCTCAAAACATGTCCTGAATGTTGCTTTTTGTAGGTTAGCTCGTGGAATCTGGGACAGGGAGAGCTGTCAAGGGCAAACCTCCAGGCCAAGTAGAACAGAGCAGGGGAGGGCGTGGGGTCGCCTGGGACAGGGCAGACCCCAGAGGCTGCTGTCCCATCAGGCTTTCTTCCCAGGGGAGGATGTGACCTGGCCCCTAAGCCTGGCCCCCAACAGCCAGGGCTCGACTCCCTGGGAAGAAGGCAGGAGGGAAGTGGGTCAAGGGAGGGCTCCCTGCTGATGGTGCCCCCACCCCACAGATGTGAATGAGTGTGCAGACCCCGTGAACTGCATCAACGGCCTGTGTGTCAACACCCCCGGCAGCTACCTCTGCAACTGCCCCCAGGATTTTGAGCTGAACCCCAGCGGGGTGGGCTGCGTGGGTGAGCACGCACTCCACTCCGGGTGGGGTTTTGGGGTCAGTGGGCTGGATGGGGCCATAGCCTGGGTCACCCAGATGCACCTGCTCCTGACACACAGGCCCTTGGCCAGAGTGATCATCCCGATCGTCTGTTGAGATACAGCCTTCTGCTCTAGACAGACGGACAGACACATGCATAGAGTCACACATGCACACAGAAATATGCATGCACACACTTCCACAGTCACACACAGAGGCACCCATGCACACACAGACACACATAGAGTAACACACAGTTACACGTACACAGAAGTGCAAACACACACACACACCATTTCTCCCCCACCACTTGCTAACCATCCCTTTCTGCCTCTTAAGACACCCGGGTCGGGAACTGTTTCCTGGACACACAGGACCGAGGGGACGGTGGCATTTCCTGCAGTGTGGAGATCGGGGTTGGCGTCACCCGAGCATCCTGCTGTTGCTCCCTGGGACGGGCCTGGGGCAACCCCTGTGAGCTGTGCCCGCTGGCCAATACCAGTGAGTCCCTGGGGGAGTGGGGGCGGGGGAAGGCAGAGACCTAGCCCTGGTCCAGGCTCCCGCAGGGCTTAGTGGGTCATCTCTGCTAAGGGAGGGACACTGGGAACGAGAGAGGGAGGGCTCGCCCTGGGTCACACAGCATATTCTCAGCAGTTCATCATCTAGGTCTCTCCCCAAAGTCTCCTTCTGCCATCTCTTCCTGCAAATTCTTTGTGTGTTTATATTGACTTGCTCACTCAGTCAATCAACAAACATTGAGCATTCCTCTGTGTCCTGTTGTAGGGGTGGGGACCTAGAGAAGGATGGGCCGCAACTGCTGTACACTGCCCCTTACCCGTAAACCAACAGTCCCTGGACTGTTGAGAGTGGAACTATCCTAAGGGTCTGTTTGAGGCATAGTGATGGGTCAGGAGGAAGCCATGGAGAGGAAGGGGGTAAGGGAAGCCTTCCCAACATAGGGACTTGAATGAGGTTTTGAAGGGTGAGTAGGAGTTTTCCAGGCAGAGTAGGGGAAAGCGTGTGGGGTGCAGTGGGAAGAGCATTTGCAAAGTCGTCAGGTGTCAAGTAGGGAGGCAGCTGTCCACCTATTCAGGTGTGTGTGTGTGTACATCCAGGGTCTTCCTTTCATGGGGGAAACTTGTGGTCACACTAGGGTCTGGTTGTGGATCACAAAGAATCCCTACCTACCCTGAGCTACTACCACAAGATCCATCTGCTCACATGTTGAATTGTGAGCACATGTTTACACACACACACACACACACACACACACTGGATCCCCCAGGATTGGCTCAATGTCTCTTGGTCCCAAGAGGCTGAGGAGGTAAGGGACGTAATTTCTGTGCTAAAGGGATGTAAGGCCCACTCTTGAGCCCTTTCTAGGGGACCTCCTCTCCCCTGCTTCCCCTGAGCTTTGCCCAAATGCCCCATCCCACAGCCCCTCACAAGCACCTCTTTCCCTTGCAGCTGAGTACAGAACCCTGTGCCCGGGGGGTGAGGGCTTCCGGCCCAATCCCATCACCGTCATTCTGGAAGGTGAGTTCCTGGTAGACCATCCACTGATTGACCTTCCTCTCATTCCCCCCTCAGCGAGGAACAGAGTTGGGCCGCTTTGGGGTTGGGGGCAGATCCTCTCAGCCATCTCCTCTTCCACCAGTTGGTTTATTGATTCATCCTTCTATCCAACCCCCATCCACCCATCGATCCATTCATCTCTCCTCTACCCACCCATACATCCATTCCCTATTTATCCATTCTTCCTTCCTTCTTTCCTTCCATCCGTTCATCCATCCATCCATCCATATATATAAGTATGTTCGTACATCTACTCACCCACCCACCCACCCATCCATCCACTCATTTAGCTTTTCGTCCATTGACCCATTTGCTTATTCACCCATCTAGCACTTTTCATATCCACCCATGTACCCATCCACACAGCCATCCTCCCATATCCATTCATCCATCCATCCATCCATCCATCTATCCATGGGGGTAATGAGATTGGAGAATTCCATCAAGACGGAGCTTTGTGATGGATGGATAGATGAAAGGATGTTCTATCCAATGAAGGGAAAGAGGGCGTGGGCTTCAGTAGTTGTGGCTCGCGTGCTCAGTAGTTGTGGTGCTTGGGCTTAGTTGCTCCATGGCATGCGGGATCTTCCCGGCCCAGGGATCGAACCCATGTCCCCTGCATTGGCAGGCGGATTCTTAACCACTGCGCCACCAGGGAAGTCCCTGAGTATTCTTAAAGAAGCAGGACTGACTCTCCAGGACCCTGGAGAGCCCAGGGCAAGGCATGGGTGTCCCCCAAGTCCTCTGCTTGGATTTACCTTCCAATCACAGCTTCCTCACTTCCTGACAGACATTGACGAATGCCAGGAGCTGCCAGGGCTGTGCCAGGGGGGCAACTGTGTCAACACCTTCGGCAGCTTCCAGTGCGAGTGTCCACCTGGCTACCACCTCAATGAGGACACCCGCATCTGTGAGGGTGAGCTTGAACCCACCCCATCCTCCCTGCCTTCCTGCTCAGCCTCACCTCCTTTTCAGGTACTGGGGCCTCACATGCCCCTTGGAGTCTTCTCACCTGCTTTGTTGCCTGGGGCCCGTTAGAAGGGTTGGGAAGGTTTCCTCGGAATGTCCCAATCTACCCTCTGCTCCGCTGCCCCCTCCCCGTCTCCCCATTGCCTGACCTCCAGCCTCCTTCCCACTCAGAAATGACCTGGCTTTATCTCGGTGACCATGCCCTTCTTCCCTTTGATTAAAAGCTGAGCAAGGCCCAGAGCTAAGAGGGGGAAGGGAAAGACACCAAAGGAACAGCCATACCTTTCCTTTTCACTTGTCTCCTTACTGTCCTCTTCTGCGTCTTAGTAACAATCAACAGTTAACTGGTGTCTGTGATTGCATGTCACCAGGGTGCTGACATCTGCATTTGCCATTCGTTCATTCACCAAAACAGCCTCATGAGAAAGATGTTCCTATCATGAGCCCATTTTTCAGATGCAGAAACTAAGGCTCAAGGGGGTTAAGTCACTTGAGAGGTACCAGCTAGTAAGTGATTGAAACTGGCTTTGAGCCCAGCCATCCTTATCCTTGAGTCTGAGCTCTTTTGATGCAATATATGAAATTCCTTCCTTCCTTCCTTCATCCATCCATCCATCTGTCCACCAATCCATTCTTTTTCTTCTTTTCAACAATATTAACTGAGCACCTGCATGCAACCAGACACTGACATCAGCACACGAGGACAGTAGATCTTTCACTCTGATCAGCACTCTTTAGAAACTCAAGGAAATGGTGAAAGAAGGGAGAGATCTAAGATTGAAAGCCCAATTTCCTTTCTACATGGAGGTGGGAGCTGTCAAACCAGAGTCAGAACCCAAAACGCTTGAAAAATATCTCATCCCTCCCTGCCTCCCCTATTCCGTAGACTCTCAAGGGAAAAAGGGAAAAGTCCTGTCCTCAGATATGGCCCTGTGTTGCATTTCTTGACTGTCACAGGGCAGGGAGACTTCAACCTGAATGTTAACCTTGGCTGTGGAGCCTCGCAGGGCCAGGCTTGCAGCATTTCCCAGCTTTCAGACTCAAGGGCCCTGTACTCCAAAGGGTGCCATTCCCCCACCCCTCCCACCCCCGCTTAGTTTAATGCTCTGCTGTCACCATCTTGAAATTCTTCATATACTTTGCCCTGGACAAATTCTGTAGCCAGTCCTTGTCAAACATTTTGTCTAACTCCTAGAATCACTAAGTCATATGGTAATTCTATGTTTGACTTTTTGAGGAACTGCCAAACTGTTTTCCACAGCACCTGCACCATTTTGCATTTTCACCAGCAACATAAGAGGGTTCTAGTTTCTCCACATCATTATCAACACTTGTTATTTTCCATTGTGTAAAATATTACCCTAGTGGGTGTGAAATGGTATCTCATTGTGGTTTTGATTTGTATTTTCCTAATGACTAATGAGGTTGAGTACCTTTGGAGAAATGTCTATTTAGGTCTTTTGCCCATTTTAAAATTGGATTGTTTCCCTTTCTGTTGTTGAGTTGTGGGAGTTCTTTATATATACTGGATATAAGACTCCCATCAGATATGTGATTTGCAAAGAGTTTCTCCAGTTCTGTGAATTGTCTTTTCACTTTCTCGATAGTGTCTGCTGATGCACAGCAGGTTTAAATTCTGATGAAATCCAATTTATCTGTTTTATTTTTCCTTTTGTGGTTTGTGCTTTTGGTGTCATATCTAAGAATCCATTTGCTAAACACAAGGTCATTAAGATTTACCCCTATGTTTTCTTCCAAGAGTTTTATGGTTTCAGCTCTCATGTTTAGGTCTTCTATTTTGAGTTAATTTTTGTATATGGTGTGAGGTAGGGATCCAACTTCATTCTTTTGCCTGTTGGTATCTAACTGTCCCAGCACCATTGGCTGAAGAGACTTCTTTCTGCACTTTGGTGAAAATCAATTGACTGTAGATGTCTTGGTTTGTTTCTGGTCTCTAAATTCTGTTCCACTGATTTATAGTTCTATCCTCATGCCAGTACCACTCTGTTTTGATGACTATAGCATTGTAAGTAGGTTTTGAAATGGGAAAGTGTGACTCCTCCAACTTTATTTTCTTTTCTCAATATTGTTTTGGCTGTTTGGGGTCCCTTACAATTTCATATGAATGTTAGGATCAGCTTTTCCATTTCTGCCAAAAGAAGAGAAATCACTGGGATTTTGATGGGAATTACATTGAATCTATAGATCACTTTAGGGAGTATTGCGATTTTAACAATAATGAGTCTTTTCATCCATGTACACAGGATGTCTTTCCATTTATTTAGGTCTTCTCTAATTTTTTTCAGAAATGTTTTATAGTTTTCTGTGTACCAGTCTTTCACCTCTTGGGTTGAATTTATTCTTAAGTATTTAATCTTTTGGATTCTATTATAATTGGAATTATTTTCTTAATTTCCTTTTCAGTTGCTTTTTGGTAGTTTGTAGAAATACAACTGAAATTTCTATGTCAGTGTGTTGATCTTGCATTCTGCGTTGTGCCCGCTTCATTTATTAGCGCTAATAGTTTTCATTCTGTGGGTTCTCTAGGATATTTTATATATCAGATCCCCTGGTTTTGTAAGTTTTTGACGGGATTCCTGAGTTCCTCAAAAGTTAATTTTGTCAGTTTTTGCTCAGCTCAGTAGCTGTTTTTGTGGAGGAATAAAGCTCTGACATTCCCTATTCTGCCATTTTTGGAAATGTCACTCCTAGCTTGCTAATACTCCACCACCTGTTTTTGTATAGCCCACTAAGAATGCTTTTCACATTTTTAGGTTATTGGAAAAAATCAAAAGGAGAATAATACTTTGTGCCGCATGAAAATGACATGAAATTCACATTTCAGTGGCCATAGATCAAGTTTTACTGGCGCACAGCATGCTAGTTTGTTTACCCATTGTCTATGGCTGGCTGCCTTCACGCTACCATGGCAAAGTGAATAGCTCATCAGAGACCATTGTTTGGCTCGCAAAACTGAAAAAAATATTTACTTCCAGCCCTTTACAGAAAATGTGTGCTGCTTCTGGACTAAGGGATCAATGAGATTGAGAATCAACTTTTTTCTTTCAAGAATATTTTATTCATAGGGTTCTTGCTTCCTATTGCATCACACCAGGAAGCACATGATTGCCCCACTCTTGGTGATAATATCATTAAATGAGCTCAGATCATATTTTTTCTCCATAGAAGTGGGATCATAGTAAACGTTTTTCCCCACCTAATACTGTGCCGTATCTTTACACATCACTAAGATGTCCGTGCATTTTAACCTAATCTTGAAACTAAACTCAACCGCATAGTGAAGTGGCTCTAGCAGACCTGGGGTGGGGAGTTATCCAGACAATTCCTGGATGCAGACAATTCCTCCCTCCCCCTGCAGACATCGATGAATGCTCTGCACACTCGGGCATCTGTGGCCCTGGTACCTGCTACAACACTCTGGGGAACTACACTTGTGTCTGCCCAGCGGAATACCTGCAAGTCAACGGTGGCAACAACTGCATGGGTACGAAGTGTGATGATGGGGGACCCCAGCCGTTGTGGGGAAAGCACTCGGGTGTGGGAGGGGCTTCTGGGAGTCTCCAAGCCTTGGAAGAGTGTGGAGAGGCATGTTTGTGGGAGGAGAGAGGGAGGGTGAGTGTATTTGAGATGCTGGTATGCAGCAGTGAGCAAGGCTGCAGGGCTCAGGGACCCAGGGCTGCCGTGTATGGTTGTCCAGGTTGTGCACTGCCCAAGAAGGGCTAAACGTGAAGGGCACCCTCATGTGTGTTGGGAAGAAGTCAAGCCAGTAATCTCCAAATGGATTTATGAATGAGTTCCTATCTCTCTGGCTCTCTTCCTCTGGTGTCTCTTGCCTGCATCCTTCACTCCAACCCAACTGCAGACATGAGGAAGAGTGTCTGCTTCCGGCACTATAACGGTACATGTCGGAATGAGCTGACCTTTAACGTGACCCGGAAGACGTGCTGCTGTTCTTACAACATTGGCCAGGCCTGGAATAGACCCTGCGAGGCCTGCCCAACTCCTGCCAGCCGTAAGTGCCCCTCCCTGGCCTTCATTCCAGCTTGGCCCTTTTTAATGCAGTGTTTAATGAGGCATACCGCACTTAGAACTCCCACATGAGTCTGTTGTTTTGATGAGAGCTGAAGAGTTGAAGTTCCATCCCAGTCAACATATGGAAAAATCAATACTTTTAAGGAGGGCAAGGCATCCTTCTATTTCACAGACTCGGGGAATTCAGGATGGATCAGTGAGGCTTTCATTTGTGCTAAAGAACCTTGAACACTCACAGATTATTTGGTGGGGTCGGGGGGGTCAGTGAGTGAGTGCCTAGGGCCAGAGAGAAAAGCACAGCTGGTTGGAGGCACCAGGGCCCTATGAGCTGCGGGCGGAGCAAGCTTGCAGAAGCTCTGAGGAGGATTACAGAAATGTCGGTCAGGATGAGGAAGGGTATTCCAGGCAAGGAACAGCAGGAGCAAAGTCCTGAAAGAAGGACTGAGCAGAAGAACTTTTTGGCAGTTGGGATGAGACCTATTAGGATGATCTAGCAACTAGCCCAGGCATCAGAAAGAGCTGCAGGAATGGAGCGGTGAGTAGAGGGGATAACTAGGGGGTTACAAGTTTATTAGTGCTATGGACTGAATGTTTGAGTTCCCCCCAAATTCATATGTTGGGGCCCTAACCCCCAGTGTGATGGCATTTGGAAGGTGGAGCCTTTGGGAGTTAATTAGATCATGTGGATGGAGCCCCTAAATGCGATTAGTGCCCTTATAAGAAGAGACACAAGAAACGTTCTCTCTTTGCCACGTGAAGACACAGCAAGAAGACAGACAGGAAGAGTTCTCAGCAGACACCAGATCTGCTGGTGCCTTGATCTGGGACTTCCCAGCCTGCAGCGCTGTGAGAAGTAAACGTTGGTTATTGAAGCCATCCAGTTCATGGTATTTCCTTATAGCAGCCTGAACTAAGACAATTAGTTTCCTAGGGTTGTGGCAACAAATACCACAAACTTGGTGGCTTAAGAAAAAAAAAGAACACCAGAAACGTATTTTCTCACAGTCTTGGAGGCTAGATGTCATAAATCAAGGTGTGGGCAGGGTCACGCTTCCTTCAGAGGATCTAGGGATGAATTCTTACTTGCTTCGTCCAGGTTCTGGTGGTTCCAGGCATTCTTTGGTATTGCTTGGCTTGTACCTGCATCTCCTCCATCTCTGCCTTCAACTCATATGGCTTCTCCCTGTGTCTCCACATGTCTCTTCATTTCTTATAAGGACACCAATCATTGCATCAGGGCTCCTCTGATCCAGGATGACTTTCACTTGACTGTATCTGCAAAGACCCTATTTCCCAAAAAGGTCACATTCAGAGGGTCTGGGTGGACATGAACTTTGGGGGTGGAGGGTCATTATTCAACCCAGTGTAGTGGTATGAGAAGGGGTCATTACTGGCTGTCTCTGAGTGCCGGGCCCTGTTCTGGGTTCTAGGAAATAAGAATAAGGTAGACCCAAGCTGTGCAGTCTGGGAGGAAACTGCAGACAGCCAAGTCTGGTCATGAGATTGTCAAGACAGATCAAATGTCACTCACAGATTATGTGCTGGGAGTTAGGTACCTACCTGAATCTTAGGCACCTGAATCTGAGGTGCAGGTTGAATATGATGAGACAGAAGTCCACACTAGGCATAGGGGCCACTGAGATTGGTCTGTTCTCATCATGATACAGGCAGAAGAGCGAGTGAGGAGCAGGGCAGGGACCTGGGGAAAGGTGGCACTGCCCAAATGCCTGCCCATGTCTATCAGGTGGGTCCAGGGACACCCACCCACCTGGGAATCTAGGTCGGGCAAGCAGCATCTTGGTGTCAGCAGTGGGATACAGTCAGAGAGTGAATTGCCCTGGAAGAGCCAAAGGATGGCGTCATCAGCTGTCCAGGGCCAGAGTGGTGGGCTGCCCAGAGTCCTCAAGGTTGAAGTGGACTATGCTAGGGAACAGCAAAGGGAACAGCATATGCAAAGTTCCGGTAGCATGACAGAGCAGGACACATCCAGACATGGAATGAAATCATGTAACAGGAGGGCAGGAGATGCTGTTGGAGGAAAGGTGGGACTGAGGGTGAAGGTTCTTGAGGTCCATACTGAAGAGTCTGCATTTTATAGTGAGGACAGTGGGGTGTAGCTGGTGGCACTCACACAGGGAAGAGATGAGGGAGGTCATGTCTATGTGTTAGAAGATCACACCACACAGGTGAATGGCACCCGTAACCCTCCCAGCGCTGGTCAGAGTGGAGGGAGGGAGAGGGACTAGTTGTCAGGGGCCAGGTGAGCACTGGGCTACAGGGATGGACAAGCTGATCAGAGGAGGAGGAGGTGTCCTCCCAGGGAGGCTGCAGCCCCAGCGCCCTGCCTTCCCCATTCTCCTTTGCCCAGTGGATTACCAGATCCTGTGTGGAAACCAGGTTCCCGGGTTCGTCATTGACATCCACACAGGGAAGCCCCTCGGTGAGTGACCACCACCCTCCTGTCTGTAGCCCCAGGTCACTCTGTGCCCAGAGCCCTGCCCCCTCTCTTCCTCTCCCCCCACAGCTCTTTCCCTTCCACCCTCCCCTACCCCACACCCTCATTCTTCCAACTCCGCAGGCCAGGAATCCTGACCCTTTTTTAAAAAAAGCAATGAGAGTATTTTTATTAAATTGTTATTCATTTTTTAAACTTCTGTAAAAATACACATAACATTTACCATTTTAACCATTTTTATGTGTCCAGTTCAATGGCATCGATTACATTCACACTGTTGTGCAACCATCCCCACCATGCATCTCCAGAACTTTCCATCTTCGCAAACTGCAACTCTGTCCCCATGAAACACTAACTCCCATCCCCCTCCCCCAGCTCCTGGGAACCCCCATTCTACTTTCTGTCTGTAAATCTGACCTCATAGAAACAGATTCGTACAGTATTTGTCCTTTTGTGTCTGTTTTATTTCACTCGGCATAATGCCCCCAAGGTTCATCTGTGTTGCAGTGGAGCAGAACGCTCCCTTTTTCAGTTAAATGAGGTTTTGTGCAATTCAATACCTGAATGCCAAATTTCAGCTGTGCGGTGTTTCATTGATGAACCTATTTTCAGTTGTTTTCATTCCACCGTTGTATTCTCCTTATTTTCAACAATTGGAACAGAGCAGATAAGAGCAACTCCCCCTCCAGTCACCCCCTCAAATCTAAGTCTCCTTCATACTCTCCCAAGGTCATAACTCAGTCTCCCATGGATGGATACAGGCTGATTCCAGGTTCTTTTATATGAACAATAGATTTATTGATTTATAATTCATGCTTTACACCTGGAGTATTTCTTTCTAGTTCTTTTTTTTTTTTTTTTTGTGGTACGCGGGCCTCTCACTGCTGTGGCCTCTCCTGTTGCGGAGCACAGGCTCCGGACGCGCAGGCCCAGCCGCCATGGCCCACGGGCCCAGCCACTCCGCAGCACGCGGGATCCTCCCAGACCGGGGCACGAACCCGCGTCCCCTGCATCGGCAGGCGGACTCTCAACCACTGCGCCACCAGGGAAGCCCTCTTTCTAGTTCTTTCTTCATGCATTTAAACACACATAGAGATCCGCCTTTGAAAATGTATGGCATTGTTTTCTGGGGAGTTGGACATAAATTCTGTGCTTTCTTATGTCTTGTCTGCAACTTATTTTTCTCACCCAGCAAAGAGTCGTGAAGAACCAGCCAGGTTACTACACGCAGCACTGCCTCCCTCTTTGCCCTGCTTTGTAGTATTCCATACATGGACACATCCCAGGTCATAAGTCAGTCCCCCATGGATGGACACATAGGCAGATTCCAGGTTCTTTTATATAAACAGCAGCTTTATTGAGATATAATTCACTTCACCCATCAAAAGCACACAGTTCAGTGGGTTTTCGTATATTCACAGAGTTGTGCCCCATCACTTCAATTGAAGTTTGAACATTTCATCACACAAAAAGAAACCCTGTCCCCATGAGCAGTCATTCCCTGTTCTGCCTTCCCCCAACCCCTGGCAACCACTATTCCGCTTTCCATCTCTTTGGATTTGCCTGTTCTGGATGTTTCATATAAATGGAATCGTACGGTATTTGTCCTTTGGGGACTGGCTTCTCTCACTGAGCATCATGTTTTCAAGGTTCTTCCACGTTGTAGTGAGTGTCAGTGTTTCACCCCTTTTTCAGGATGAATCGTATTCCCTTGTAGGGAGGGACCACATTTTGTCATCCATTCCTCCGGTGATGTTTCCAGTTTCTCGCTAAACGTCACCACAGGTCCTCCCGTGCAGCCTCCTGCTCACACACGGGACTGCCTCGTTCCCGGAGACCCCACAAAGCAGGCTTGCTGGGTCACAGCAAATGTGCATTTTTGTTGAGAAAGAGACTCTTTCCCCCTGCCTTCCCTCCCACATCCTGATTTCTTTCCGGTGCGAGCAGATATAGTTTGGCCACTGCAGGATTTTTCAAGTGTGTGCTGGTTGGGGGACACATCTTCTCCTAGACTGCATGATCTCTTAGGTCAGGGTCCCCAGACGTTGCCGGGAGCTGAGCTGCTCCTGACGGCTGGCGCCCTCCCCAGACATCGACGAGTGTGGGGAGATCCCTGCCATCTGTGCCAGTGGCGTCTGCATCAACCAGATTGGGAGCTTCCGCTGCGAGTGCCCCACGGGCTTCAGCTACAACAGGGTGCTGCTGGTCTGCGAAGGTGCCGCCCCCCTGCCTCCCCAGCCCCGGGTGGGTTGCTGGTCCCCCCTCCCAGCCTGTGCTCTCTGGGCAAGTCTCTTAAACCCCGTGAGCCTCAGTTTCCCCCTCTGTGTATGGGGCTAACGCCTTTCCGAGGGGCTCCATCCCACATCACCCCGCTCAGTGTGGTTCTGGAGGGACCACCTGCTCTGAAGTGGGGGGGGGAGGGCTGGGTTTAGGGTTTGATTCTGCAGGGAAGCGTCTCTTTCAACCCCACCCCGCTGGCTGTACTCCCCAGATGTGGACGAGTGTGCCAGCGGGGAGAGCCCCTGCCAGCAGAATGCCAACTGCATCAACATCCCCGGCAGCTACCGCTGCAAGTGCGCCCGAGGGTACAAGCTGTCGCCAGGGGGTGCTTGTGTGGGTAAGTGGGGACCTCAGTAGGGAGGTGAGGGAGTGGGGTGTAGGACAAAGCCAGACTCTGCCTCCCGCTGTGACTTGGGTAGGGCACGGCTCTGTCCGGGCTTTGTTCCTTGGCTGTACTTTTTTTTGGGGGGGGCGGCGGGGTGGCTGTGCCGCACGGCTTGCAGGATCTTAGTTCCCTGACCAGGGATCGAACCCGTGCCCCACTGCAGTGGAAGCGTGGAGTTATAAGCTGTGGACTGCCCGGGAATTCCCTCCTTGGCTGTACTTTGGGGTGGGGGTGCTGAGAGCATCTGTTAACGGGGGTCGTGAGGGTGAAATGGGAGGTGAAGCATTTCCCCTGGGACAGCAGCTAGAATGGGTAGGCGGTCGGGCTCTCCCACTGCCACGTGTGATGGCTCGCAACACACTGTGGGGTGGGGACTCTGCGGGGCACCACACTCCCTGCCCTCCCTCAGGACGGAATGAGTGTCGGGAGATCCCAAATGTCTGTAGCCATGGCGACTGTGTGGACACAGCTGATAGCTACATGTGCCGGTGTCACCGTGGCTTCCGGGCTTCAGCAGACCAGACCCTGTGCATGGGTGAGAGCCCCCTCTGCTCCTTCCTCTTAGGCCAGGCTGCCAAGGGCGAGGGGCCATGGGTCTACACCTCCCCTGGGGTGGGGGTGGTGCTTCTGCCCATCCTGATTCACAGACTCACAGCTGTGAGCCCTGGCACCTAAGACCTTGGGTAAATGACTTATTCACCTCCCTGCACCTCAGTTTTCCCATCTATAGAATGGAAGTGATAAACAGGGATATTTCCCAGCCATCACTTCCCATCCACCTGGGCAGGGTGAAGTACAGGAGAGGGGGGCTGGGTCCAGCCAGGCCCTTACTGCCCAAGCTGCCCGATGCCCTGGGTGAGCTGGGCGGGGATCAGGGGCTTTGCTCTGGCAGACGTCGACGAGTGTGACCAGCAGCCATGCGGAAATGGGACCTGCAAGAATATCGTCGGCTCCTACAGCTGCCTCTGCTTCCCTGGCTTTGTGGCGACACACAGCGGACATTGCGTGGGTGAGCTGCCCAGGCTGGTGGGCAAGCCTCAGTGCACCCCCACTGAAAAGTGGGTCCTTGGCTTGAGGACACCCCTCTGAAATACAGGATCTCGCCCCAGGGATACCTTCAGGAAAACAACCTCAGGGGATTGAAAACTAGTTAACTGTAAAGTTCTCCAAACCCCTTCAATTGTCAAGTACCAAGGGTCCTTCACTAGAGCTTACACTCAGGTCGATAAGAAGGAGATGGACAGTACAGAGAGAAAAGTGAACAGTGAAGACAAGACGTGGGTGGTGTGATGCTGGCAGTTCAGTGCAGTGGTTGAAAGTGGATTCCAAGGTCAGGTGGTGTGAGTTCAAATCCCAGCTTTGCCATCTGCCAGCTGTGTGACCCTAGGCAAGTCGTTTACCTTTCTGTGCTTCCGTTTCCTTCTCTGTAAAAAGAAGATTAATAGTAGTACCTACCTATCTTAATATCAGGCCAAATTGACTTCTTTTTTTTTATAAATTTATTTAATTTTTTGTTTATTTATTTATGGCTGTGTTGGGTCTTCGTTGCTGCTTGTGGGCTTTTATTTTAGTTGCAGCGAGCCGGGGCTACTCTTCGTTGCGGTGTGTGGGCTTCTCATTGCGGTGGCTTCTCTTGTCGCGGAGCATAGGCTCTAGGCGCGTGGGCTTCAGTAGTTGTGGCATGCAGGGTCAGCAGTTGTGGCTCGCGGGCTCTAAAGCGCAGGCTCATTAGTTGTGGCCTACGGGCTTAGTTGCTCCGTGGCATGTGGGATCTTCCCGGACCAGGGCTCGAACCTGTGTCCCCTGCATTGGCAGGTGGATTCTCAACCACTGCACCACCAGGGAAGCCCCCAGATTGACTTCTGAACAAGGAATATTACCAGAAATAGAGTTAATATATATTGATTAAAGGGTCATTTCTCTGAGAAGACATAACAATCATAAATGCATATGCAGCTAGCAATAGAGCTTCAAAACACGTGAAGTAAACATTGATAGAACTGAAAAAGAAACAGACAAATTCATAATTACAGTTAGAGGCTTTAACACTCCTTCCTCAATAATAGAGGGAATGAGTAGAAGATCGGTAAGAATATAGAACACCTGAACAATCATGTGAACCACCTAGACCTGAGTGATATTTATAGAACATCCCAGAACATACATTCTTCTCAGGTGCACATGGACCTTCACCAGGAAAGACCATATTCTGGGCTATAAGGTAAACAACAAAATTTTAAAAATTGAGGTTACACAAGATAGGTCCTTGGAATGTAAGTGAATTAAACTAGAAATCAGTCACAGAAAGATATCCAGAAAATCCCCAAATGTTTGGAAGTTAAATAATACACTCCCAAAGAATCCATAGAAAAAGGAACAAATCATAAAGAAAATTAGAAAACATTTTGAATTAAATGAAAACGAAAACACAACAAAATTGGTGGGATGCAGCTAAGGTAGTATGTACAGGTAAATTCATACCCTTAAGATGCTCATATTAGAGAATATTGGTGTCTGCTTTATAGGATAGTTGGAGGGTTAATATACAGCTGGTATATAAGTGATCAGTAAATTGAAGTCATTGCCATCAACTCAACTCTGTGAACAGAAGAGCAAGGGAGGCTCAGAGCCCTAGGCTATGTGGGTGACCCCAGTGGCCCATCTTCCATCTGCAGACATGGATGAATGCACCACCATCGTGGGGCAGGTGTGCCGATTTGGCCAGTGCCTCAACACAGCAGGCTCCTTCCACTGCCTCTGCCAGGATGGCTTTGAGCTCACAAGTGATGGGAAGAACTGCATAGGTGAGTCTCACCATGGTGCTGGAAGCCATCTCAGCCTGCCCCTACTCTAAGTTTACCTTCAGTTGGTACTTGCAAGTGAGCATGGTTCCATTTCATAAGCATGTATTTATTTTAAGGTATAAAACCAGCACATCACACCCATGTTTTCACAGGGTTTATGATTTAGGGTGAGGCTGTCTTGAAGCTCTAAGTTTTATGAAGTATGGTATAATAGAGGTGTTGAATGGATGCCATGAAAACCATGAAAGGGGTGTGTGAGTGGCTTGAGATTAGGAACTTTGCTTCCCCTTCCCCTGGCTCCACCTATAACCCCCATCAAGACCGAGAATATTCTTCTCCAGATGTCCCTGTTTTCCTGAGTATCAGCCCTTCCTCTGGATCCAGAAAGGCTTGTCTGGGGGCCTTGGCCATCATGCAGTGACCATAGGTGCCGGTCCTAGCCCCAGGCAAGCCCCTGCCACCAGCTGTTGCTGGGACCCCTCCTCCTCCTCTCCCCAGACGCCAACGAGTGTCTCAGCCTCGCGGGAACCTGCCTGCCAGGCACTTGCCAGAACCTTGAGGGCTCCTTCCGCTGCATCTGTCCCCCCGGCTTCCAGGTTCAGAGTGACCACTGTGTCGGTGAGTGTCTGGCCTCACCTCCCAGCTCTGGAGCCAGGGAGGTACCTCCGGGCCTCTGTTCTTCCCCCATCTGTAAAATGGGAATGCCAGCTGGGGTGGTGGTGAGTGAAGAGATGCAGTTAGCACAGCACCCCATACAGCTCCATATACTGTTACTGTTATTAGGATGCTCTCTTGGCTCAGGGCGCTCTCTCTCTGGGGCCCCCAGGCTTCCTCGTGAATCCTATAAAATGGGCATGGGTGTGGGTCTCACTGCACCAGACATGGAACTTCTCACTTGATGAGTGGTGGTCAAGGACCAGTCTGGCCTGAACACCTCTGGTCCACTCATCCACTTGGACTAGGCTTGTACAGTCTGGGCTAATGTGGGCCAGCCTGGGCTTAGCAGATGGGCTAGCCTAGTACAACGCAAGCTAACTTCTTCCACTGTAGGCTAATTTTATCTAGTCTTACTTAGTTAGCTCTGTATAAATTTACTCTCTAAAGATGAACTTTTCCAGACCATGACCCCTACCCTGGAGACACCTTCTAGGAAAGACCCCCACACACACTGCCCACCTGGTGCTCCCCCTAATCCTGAGCCCTGGGGACCCCACCCTGCGTCAGTCCCTGGACCCTCCCTGCCTGGGCCCCCCACTCCATCTGCCCCTCCCAGCAGCCGAGGCCGCCCACCCCAGTGGAGGGCCTGCTGCACCCCACCCACCTCATGTCCCTGCCCCTCCAGACATCAACGAATGCTTGGAAGAGCCCAACCTCTGCCTCTTTGGCACCTGTACCAACAGCCCTGGGAGCTTCCAGTGCCTCTGTTCGCCTGGCTTTGTCCTGTCTGACAACGGGCACCGTTGCTTTGGTGAGTCTGGGGCCAGGGAGCACACAGGGTTAGGGAAGAGGTGGGAGGTGGGGTGAGGAAGAGCTGGGTCACCCAGAAAGGGGGCTGCAGTTTCTTGTATATATCTCCAGGAGCCTGGTCCAGTGTGGGCTAGCCTCACCCAGGCTGAGCTGGCCTCTTCTCTCCCAGGTTAGGGCAGCAAGGCAGAGGGCAGGGCAACTCAACAAGTATTTGTTGTTATGGGGGCCAGTGGTGAACCAAACCCCAACCTATCTGTAAGGACATCTCAGGCCGGTGGTGTTCCAGGGCTAAGGACTGGGAGTCAGTAACGAGGATTTGGAGTCTGAAATCTGGGTCCCTTGGCTCTCTGGAATGAGTCACTTTGCCTCTCCAGGAAAGGAGTTCTGATCCAAGAATAACATGGCTAGGTTTGACCATTCTCCCAGCCTGAGATGACCCCCACAGATGTGAATGTGGGGTGTTGCTGGAAGGGATTCTCAGATTTTCAGCAAAAACCCCAGGACTGACCCTCATTGGCCCAGTGTGGGTCACATGTCCGTCCCTGAACCAATCACCATGGAGTGATTCTGGAGCATTCTGATTGGTCGCTGGTAGGGTCAGGACCACCCTATTCATGAGGACTGGGGTGGCTAGCCCTCCTAGCTTTTCTCTGGGGAATCACCCCACAGACACACGGCAGAGTTTCTGCTTCACCCATTTCGAGGCTGGAAAGTGCTCGGTACCCAAAGCTTTCAACACCACCAAGACCCGGTGCTGTTGCAGCCAGAGGCCCGGCGAGGGCTGGAATGACCCCTGCGAGCTGTGTCCTCAGGAGGGCAGTGGTGAGCGCCCGCCCCCGTCCAGTCTCCCCTGACCCTGCCTGCCTGCCCCCATCTGCTCTCCTTCAGCCTTCCCTACACACAGGGGCATCCTGGGGGCTGCACGTGGCCCCAGGCCCTCACCTCCCTTCCCCTCTCGGTGTCCAGCCGCCTTTCAGGAGCTGTGCCCCTTTGGCCACGGGGCAGTCCCAGGCCCAGATGATTCTCGGGAAGGTGAGCCCCTCGCCCACGTGCTAAGAGCCCCCCTGGGCCACCGCAGTCTCCTCTTTTCCCGCCCAGCCCTGTCTGGGCTCTACCCTGGTTCCCAAGTCTCAGCCTCCCTCCTCGTCCCATGGGTAGCCCTGGACCCCACCCCCCTGGAGGGAAGGAAGAGACCCTGAGTGTGGCCAGGGCATGACAGATGCCGTGCCTGCAACCTCCGCTACCTGCAGACGTGAACGAGTGTGCGGAGAACCCTGGCGTCTGTGCTAACGGCCTTTGTGTCAACACTGATGGCTCTTTCCGCTGCGAGTGTCCTTTTGGCTACAGCCTGGACTTCACAGGTGTCAGCTGCGTGGGTGAGTGACCAGCACGCCCAAGCCTGCTTCCCAGGGAAGGAAGGAGCCAGGGAGGGCAGACACCACCCAAGGCAGCACCCTGCTGCTCAGCCACTGTCACTCTCCCCCACCCACTCGTGCTGCTTGCTGTTTATTCACTCATTCATTTATTCATTTACTTATTCATTCACGCATTCGCACACTTTTCATTCATTTACTTGCTCTTCACTCATTCATTCACTCACTCATTTACTCATTCACTTATTCATTTATTCATTGAACACATACTGCATGCCTGCCCTGCGTCCAGTCTATTACGCATTTTTTTTTTTTTTTTTTTTTGCGGTACGCGGGCCTCTCACTGTTGTGGCCTCTCCCGTTGCGGAGCACAGGCTCCGGACGCGCAGGCCCAGCAGCCATGGCTCACAGGCCCAGCCGCTCCGCGGCATGTGGGATCCTCCCAGACCGGGGCACGAACCCGCGTCCCCTGCATCGGCAGGCAGACTCTCAACCACTGCGCCACCAGGGAAGCCCCCGTCCAGCCTAAAGGTGCAGCAGATCTGGCCCTATCCACTCTGTAGGAAGTCAGCAGGAGGCAGACAGGATCATGTCAAGGGTGGGAGCCCTCTGCAGGCTCTGACCACCCCCTTACCCCCACCCCAGACACAGACGAGTGCTCTGTCGGACACCCCTGCGGGGAAGGCACCTGCACCAATATCATTGGAGGCTTCGAATGTGCCTGTGCTGATGGCTTTGAGCCTGGTCCCATGATGACCTGTGAGGGTACGACCCTGCCTGCCCAGACCTGGGCTGTGTGATAGGGGTGAGGGGGGCTGGCCTGAGAGAGGGACAGGGGGTCCTGCAGGCAGACCCCACCCAGCCGGCACCTCCACTGACCTCCCCAGACATTGACGAGTGCTCCCTGAATCCCCTGCTCTGCGCCTTCCGCTGCCACAACACTGAGGGTTCCTATGTGTGTACCTGCCCGTCTGGCTATGCCCTGAGAGAGGATGGGGCCATGTGCCGAGGTAGGACCCGTATGGGCAGGCGGGCTATGGGTAGGGCCCTGGGGCTCCCCGTGCCTTGGTCCCGAGAGAAAATGGAGACATAAGACCTCTGCCTCCAAGGGTGGGAATGAGCGATAAGTGATAAAGTGAGGGGAGAGCTGAGGCGAGTGAGGGTGCAATGGGTGCTCTTTTGTGAGCAGTGGTTCTGCTTTTATAGTTATGAAAGGGGGTGCTCGCATCTCCTTGGCTCCCCAATCTAACAGAACAGTGAGTGTGGCTTTCGAGGCGTCTCCAGTTGCGGCTGGACATGCTCTGAGTGGGCTAGCACAGTGGGGACAGCAATTGTGCCCCTGACCCAGGGACATGTGGCAATGTCTGGAGACATTTTTTATTGTCACAGTTGGGTGGGTGGGTGGGTGCTACAGGCATCGAGTGGCCAGGGGTGCTATTCAATATCCTACGGTGTGCAGAAGAGGCTCCCACCACAAAGAATTTTCTAGTCCCAAATGTCCAGTGTCGAGGGTAGAAACCCTGGCCTGTGACTTGGTCCCTCAAGGGCTATTTCAGAGTCAGTGTTCCAGGGACCACAGTGCAGGCCAGACAGATTCACAGACCCTGATGTAAGCAAGGAATGGGGGTGGTGGGGGCAGTTGTGACCGCCCCCCTTGGCTTCCCAGGAGGTCTGGGACGGTGTGGGGAGGAACGGGCGCCTGGCAGTGCTTCAAGGACCTCACTCTGGCCCACCGAGGCCACTGGGGGGTGGGGTCCAGGTCCTCACATCCCGGAGCTGGTCCATGGTGTGTCTGGTCTTCACCGCCATTGGTCTGGGGTTGCCCGCAGATGTGGACGAGTGTGCAGACGGCAAGCAGGACTGCTACACCCGGGGCATGATGTGCAAGAACCTCATCGGCACCTTCACCTGCATCTGCCCCCCGGGCATGCGGCCCCAGCTGGGCTCTGGGGAGGGCTGCACAGGTACAGGAGGGCTTCAGGCATGCAGGGTCTCCCTGCCCCCGACGGATGGGAGAGTTCAAAGCCAGAGGGTGTGGGTGGGCAGACTTTGACCCTGGAGGTGGAGGCCAGCTCGAGGGACTCTGGCCTCCCCCCCGGCCTGCCGCATCCCTCCCGCCTCAGATGACGATGAATGCCATGCCCAGCCCAGCCTCTGTGCCAATGGCCGCTGCGTCAACACCGCAGGCAGCTTCCGCTGTGATTGTGACGAGGGCTTCCAGCCCAGCCCTGACTTCACTGAGTGCCACGGTGAGTGTGGCCAGACCCAGGTACGGGGGACATAGCCACCCAGCATGTGGCACCGCCACCTGGGAGCTCCCCAAGGCGGGGACGGGGCCAGGGCCACCGAGGGGGTCACTGAGCCAATCCAGACACACGTGTCCACCGCACGCCCCCAGCTTCCCTTTGTCCCTTCAGTCAAACCCCCTGGAAGATTAGAGCATCTCCCCCCTGCCCTGTCCATCATCACACCCAGGAACCGGCCCTCCTCAGGTTCACCACTTCCTAAGGGCTAAACCTGGAGGGTGACCCAGTGGTACCGTCTGTCCCGGAGACTTCTCTGTCCCTGTCCCCACAGTCCTTGCCACTCTTCTCCCTTTTTACTCTCCCCCGACCCCGAGCACAGTCTCCACCCCGCAGCTTCAGATCAAGCGTGTGTATCCAGCTGTCTCCTAGACACCCCCATCCCCCATGCACCCCAGGTTCAGCTCAGCATCTTTGCTCCCCAAGCCTCGTCTCAGCGATGCCCTACCTCCCACCCAGACCCCCAAGCCAGCCTCCTGGAGTAACCCAACGGCCTCCTCCCCACTTCCCTGGATGTTACCCCTCGCTCTGTCCCTACTGTCTCTCCTGGACGCCACCACCTTTTGCCTCCACGTTGTCCCTTGTTCTCTCTGCGGCCAGAGGGATGCTGCCCTCTGACCTCAGGAAGCCATCCTCTGCAGCCCAGGGGTACCTCTCTGGTTTGGGGTCTGCAGCTTCCGCCACAGCCCAGCCCCAGCCCCGAGAGGGCATTTAACAGCACTGAGCAGTCACAGCTTGCAAGATGCCACCCCGTGCACGGGCACAGATGCGCCGGAGATGCTGGGACCCCACGTGTAGACTCTCAACACCGCTGGACGCCACGGGGAAGGGGCACCCAGACAGCTCGTTCCTCCCACCCACCATCCCCACCCGTTCTTTCCAGACACCCGGCAAGGGCCCTGCTTCTCCGAGGTGCTGCAGGCCACGTGCCAGGCTCAGTCCAGTGGCGGCGAGGCGGTCACCAGGGCCGAGTGCTGTTGCGGGGGTGGCCGCGGCTGGGGCCCCCACTGCGAGCTCTGTCCCCTGCCCAGCACTGCCGCCCACAAGGAGCTGTGCCCCCACGGCTCGGGCTACACCGCCGACGGCCGAGGTGGGTGGCGATCTGTTCATGATTGTGTGTCTGTGCTCCAGCCAGTGTTAGAGTACGTGAGCCAGTGTGTGCATCTCTGTGCTGGCAGGTGTGTGGACCAGCGTGAACCAGAGCCTGTTGGTCGCTCTGCGTGTGTGCGTGAACTTGGGTGGGATAGGGGAGCAGGTGTGTGAGCCAGCGTGTGTGCGTGTGTCCTTTGTTCTGTGTGTGCAGGCTCATTAGTGAGCGCATGACTGGTGTGCAATGCTTGTGCGTCCATCTCTGCTTCCATGTATGTGGACGGGGTGCCCTGAGAAGGTGTCGCTGATGAGGCTGTGGTGTGGGTGTGTCCCCACCACGGGGATTCTCAGCATCCAGCGGAAGTTTCATTCGCCTCAGGGTGGGGTCCACAGGGGCCAGGCCGCCAGCTCTGGGGTGCCGGGAGGGGAAGCAGAGGCTGGCCTTGCCTCCCGGGAGAGGGCTGGTGGGCCCAAGGGAGGCGGCATGCCCTGGTGACCCAGGGGGGACGGCCCCAGCCGAGCCCTGCTTGTCCTCAGACGTGGATGAGTGCCGCGTGCTCGCTCACCTGTGCCCCCATGGCGAGTGCATCAATAACCTTGGCTCCTTCCGCTGCCACTGCCGGTCTGGGTACGCGCCTGACACCACTGCCACAGCCTGCGTGGGTGAGCCCCCTGCCCCACCCCGTGAGCCTCTCCGTGCAGCGCCTGGCACACACCCCCGTGAGAAAACCGAGACCAGAGGCAAAGCATCCTTGTTTCTTCCCTCCACCCCCAGCCCATGTGGACCACTTTCCTCCTGTTGTCTGGTGCATCCTAAGTTTTTCAGTCACGTTGTGCAGCAGGTGTTCATCTAAGTCAGGGTCGGCAAATTCCTGCCCAAGGGCTGAGTCCAGCCCTCCGCTTATTTTTGTTAATAAAGTTTTATTGGCACACGGCCACACCTATTTGTTTCCTTACCCTCTGTGGCTGTTTTCCTGCTACAGAGGCAGGGTTGAGTGGCTGGGATTGAGACTGTCTGGTCCGCCAAGCCAAATATATTTACTCTCTGGCTTTTTACAGAAAACAAACAAACAAACAAAAAAACAGTTCCTTGTGTAAGCCCACAGATTCTGAATAGCTGGGGTCCGGGAAGGAGGCCTCAGCAGGGTGGGGGTGGGGACCCCAGCCCCTGAGCCCCCAGGAATGTCTGACTGACCCTCCTGAGTGCTGCGTCCCCTCTAGATGTGGACGAGTGCAGCCAGGTCCCCACGCCATGTCCCTTCCTCTGCAAAAACACCAAGGGCAGCTTCCTGTGCGCCTGCCCCCGAGGCTACCTGCTGGAGGAGAATGGCAGGATCTGCAGAGGTGACGTCCCTCTCTCCCCACCTATGCACCATGGGGCTCTGTCCCTGTCCCCCACAGGGGCATCTCACACCCTCCCACTGCATGGGGTCGGGTGCCGTCTCCAGGGTGTCTCCCCTGGGAAGCCCCAAGTCCCGGCGGGCCCTGCCCTGAGCCCGCTGGGACCCTGTGTGCTGCAGACGTGGATGAGTGCTCCTCCAGGCAGCACAACTGCCAGTTCTTCTGCGTCAACACCATCGGTGCCTTCACCTGCCGCTGTCCCCCTGGCTTCACCCAGCGCCACCAGGCCTGCTTTGGTGAGTCCCCTTTGGCCCTCGCAGCTGGTGCTTGGCCCCAGCCTTCACCAAATAAGTGGCAAATGCACAGTGTGTGCCAGACATCAGGGACACAGGGGTGATTAGAACAAAGCCCTTGCTCTGTCGCTGCTTACGTCCTGGTGGCAACTGGGACGTCAGTCTCCTTCCTTGCCTTAGGGACCTGGGAGACCACCCTCAGGAGTCTCTCTGACCTTGGCCCAGGACACCTACCCTCACCCTTGACCTGCCGAGTCTCTCTGCAGAGGGCCTCCCCAGGGTGCCCCCAAAAGCCAAGGGGGTCACGCAATCCAACTGTCACTTCTTAGTGTCTTGTGACCTGGGAGAACCAGACCTCCCCCAAGGGCTGAAACTAGACACGGGTGGCTTCTTTCAGGCTCCCACGAATCCACTCAGCCAACACCTACCAGGCAGTGCTCTAGACCAGAGCTCAGCAGACTCCAGCCCCCAAGTCAAGCCCGGCCCCCTGCTTGCTTTTGTCAATAAAGTTTTATTGGCACACAGCCATGCCCATTCATTTACGTATTGTCTGTGGCTGCATTTGCTACAACAGCAGAGCCAAGTAATTGCAACAGAGTAAAAAATATTTCCTACCTGGCCCTTTACAGAAGGAGTTTGCCTCGTCCTGTTCTAGACCCTGAGGGCACAGCAATTGAACACAAGGATCAAGCTTGCTGCCTCATGAACCATCCCTTCTGCCAGGCAATGACTAGAAACAAACATAACAGCTTACCACTGTAGCGTGTTAGAAGGTGATGTGGGACATGAAAGAAAGAAAAAGTAGAAAGCAGGGGAAGGCAATCAGGAGGGCTACAATATAATTCTATTTTTTAAGTGAGATATAATTGACGTGTAACATATTACTTTTAGGTGTACAACATAATGACTCGATATTTATGTATATTGCGAAGCGATCACCACAGTAAGTCTAGTTAACATCCATCATCACATAGTTACAAAATTTTTTTCTTGTGATGAGAACACTTTATACTCTCTTAGCAACTTTGAAACATACAGTACAGTATTATTTTTTTTTCATTAACAGATTTTTTAATTTAATTTTTATTTTATATTGGGGTATAGTTGATTTACAATGTTGTGTTAGTTTCAGGTGTACAGCAAAGTGAATCAGGAATACATAGACACATACTTATTCTTTTTCAGATTCTTTTCCCATATAGGGTTATTACAGAATATTGAGTGGAGTTCCCTGTGCTACACAGTAGGTCTTCATTGATTATCTATTTTTGTGTGTGTATATGTTAATCCCAAACTCCTAATTCATCCCTCCCCCTCACCTTTCCCCTTTGGTAACCATAAATTAGTTTTCTAAGTCTGTGAGTCTATTTCTGTTTTGTAAATAAGTTCATTTGTATCATCTTTTTAGATTCCACATATAAGTGATATCATATAATATCTGTCATTCTCTGACTTACTTTGCTTAGTATGATAATCTCTAGGTCCATCCATATTGCTGCAAATGGCATTATCTCATTCAATGCAGTATTATTTATTTATTTATTTATGGCTGTATTGGGTCTTCATTGCTGTGCACAGGCTTTCTCTAGTTGCAGCGAGCAGGGGCTACTCGTTGTTGCGGTGCACGGGCTTCTCACTGTGGTGGCTTCTCTTTTGTGGAGCACAGGCTCTAGGCGCGCCAGCTTCAGTAGTTGTGGCATGCGGGCTCAGTAGTTGTGGCTCCTGGGCTCTAGAGCTCAGGCTCAGTGGTTGTGGTGCACGGGCTTAGTTGCTCCGTGGCACGTGGGGTCTTCCCAGACCAGGGCTCGAACCCAGTGTCCCCTGCATTGGCAGGCGGATTCTTAACCACTGCGCCACCAGGGAAGCCCTCAATGCAGTATTATTAACCACAGTCACCATGCTGTACATTACATCCCATGACTTATTTATTTTATAACTGGAAGTTTGTACCTTTGACCACCTTCTTCCCTTTCAATCACCTCCCAGACCCTCCTCTGGCAACCACAAGTCTGTTCTCTGTATCCGTGAGCTTGGCTTTCTTGTTTTGTTTTTAGATTCCACATATAAGTGGGATCACACGGCATTTGTCTTTCTCTGTCTGACTGATTTCCTCTTAGCAAAGTACCCACAAGGTCCAACCATGTTATCACAAGTGGCAGGATCGCCTTCTTTTTTATAGCTGAATAATATTCCATTGTACGTATATAACACATTTTCTTTATTCATCCATGTTTGGGTACTTAGATTGTTCCCAGGTCTTGGCTGTTCTGAATAATGCTGCAGTGAACATAGGGGTGCAGGTACCTTTTCAAGTTAGTGTTTTCATTTTCTTTGGATAAATACACCCAGAAGTGGAATTGCTGGGTGGGCTGCAGGAAAAATGGCAAGCCTCACTGAAAGGGGAAAGATTTGAAGGAGGTGAAGGAGTGAGCCGTGTGCATATCTGTGGGAGGAGTGAGCATTCCTAGCCACGAAATGACTGGCATTTCTCCTTTTTCTGTACAGTCAAGTTATTTTCCCTCCTTCTTAAGGTGAGCACACTTACTATGGCATTTGTGTGTGTGCAGCTGTATGCGTGTGCACACGGGCTTAGAAGCCCCATGTCCCAATGCCTCTTGTACCCAAGAGAGATTCCAGGTTCCCACAGGGCTGTGCCTGGTGTCAAGAATCTCCATACTCAATAAAGAAGATGTGGGCTTCCCTGGTGGCGCAGTGGTTGAGAGTCCGCCTGCCGACGCAGGGGACACGGGTTCGTGCCCCGGTCCGGGAGGATCCCACATGCCGCGGAGCACCTGGGCCCGTGGGCCATGGCCGCTGAGCCTGCGCGTCTGGAGCCTGTGCTCCACAACGGGAAAGGCCACAACGGTGAGAGGCCCGCATACCATAAAAAAAAAAAAAGAAGAAGAAGATGTGGTATATATACAGTGGAATACTACTCAGTCATAAAAAAGTATGAAATAATGCTATTTGCAGCAACATGGATGGACCAAGAGATTACCCTACTAAGTGAAGTAAGTCAGACAAAGACAAATACCATATGATATCACTTATATGTGGACTCTAAAATAGAACACAAATGAACTTATTTACAAAACAGAAATGAACTCACAGACATAGAGAACAGACCTGTGGTTGCCAAGGGGGAGGGGAGGGATGGAGTGGGAGTTTGGGACTAGCAGATACAAACTATTATATGTAGAATGGATAAACAACAAGGTCCTACTGTATAGCGTAGTGAAGTATTGATATATTCAATATCACTCAATAAACCATAATGGAAAAGAATATATTTATGTATAACTGAATCACTTTTGTACACCAGAAACTAACACAACATCGTAAATCAACTATACTTCAATAAAATAAAATTTTAAAACTTAAAAAAAAATCTCCATAGTCAAGGAGGCCTAAATTAGGGTTCCCCCTAGAAATGTAGGGTTCATTCTCCATGACCCCAATCCCAATGCAATTTACCACCATGGACCATGACCACCATAGCAATGTTGCCTGATAACCAGGCCTGTCTTAGCTCAGGCTGCCATGACAAAATATCATAGACTGGGTGGCTTACAAAACAGACATTGCTCACAGTCTGGAGGCTCTAGGTCCAAGATTAACATGCTAACAGGGTCAGGTTCTGATGAGGGCCTCTTCCTGGCTTGCATACGGCCACCTTCCTCCTGTGTCCTCATGTGGTAGGGAGAGAACAAGAGTAAAGGTCTTTGGTGTCTCTTTTTATAAGGGCACCAATCCCATCAGGAGGGCCCCACCCTCATGACCTCTTCTAACCCTAATCACCTCCCAAAGGTCTCGCCTCCTCATACCATCACTCTGGGGGTTAGGGTTTTGGGAATTTGGCAGTGGTGGCATTGGGGGTGGGGCAGGGGGGACACACACATTCAATCCATAACTCTGGCTGACATCCCACAATTGTCAGGTTTCCATGAGGACAGAGTGCAACAGTTACCCTGGGTCATTTTCCCACAGAGAAGGACAAGGGGTTTTGTTAATCTTTTACTCTTAGGTTGAGCACTGTCCCAGTGCTTCATGTGATTAGGTTAATTTAATTCTCACAAAACACAATGAGGTAGATATTATCATCTCCATGCTACAGCTGACAAAACTGAGGCACAGAGAGAGTAAGTCGGTTGCCCTACGTCACACAGCACTGAGGTGGTAGAGATGAGATTCAAAGTCCTATATGTGCGTGCTCTTAAGTGTTTGTGACAGTTCTGTGAAGTGGGAACTGTTATGGATCTCCTTTCACAGAGAGGGAAACTGAGGCCCAGAGAGGTTAAGATTTGCCTGGGGGACTTCCCTGGCTGTCCAGTGGTTGAGACTCCTCACTTCCAATGCCGGGGCTGTGTGTTCGATCCCTGGTCTGGGAACTAAGATCCCACAAGCTGCATGGTGCAGCCAAAAAATGTGTGTGTGTGTGTGTGTGTGTGTGTGTGTGTGTGTGTGTCTGTCTGTCTGTCTGTCTGTCTGTGTGTGTGTGTGTGTGTGTGTGTGTGTGTGTGTGTGTGTGTATGTAAAAGATTTGCCTGGAACAGTTGATCAGGTGGTAGGCCTGGTATCGTGGTGCCTGACATGAACCCCCTAACCAGCAGGTGGCCCTGCCCGTTCTATGTCCTCTGCAGACAATGACGAGTGCTTGGCCCAGCCTGGCCCGTGTGGCACCCGTGGACACTGCCACAATGCCCCAGGAAGCTTCAGCTGTGAGTGCTATCAAGGCTTCACCCTGGACAGCTCAGGCCATGGCTGCAAAGGTAGAACCGGGCTTTGGGTGGGGTCTAGGCCTTGGGGGTGGTCCTGAGGGCTGCCTGGCAAGCCTTCTGTCCTCTCGACATCTCACAGATGTGGATGAATGTGACGGGCCTCATCGCTGCCAGCACGGCTGCCAGAACGAGCTGGGGGGTTACCGCTGTGGCTGCCCCCAGGGCTTCACCCCACACTCCCAGTGGGGCCAGTGTGTGGGTGAGTAGTGGGGGCTGGGAGGAAGCCGACCCCCCACCAGAATCTGTCCAAAGTGGGCAACTGGGAACCACCCCCATGGCAGGATGTTGTGATAAGCACAAGTACCTCAAGGCCGATTGCCTGGTCTGGAAGGTAGTTAGTTCCCTGCTGCTGGGCAGGCTGGGGAGTTAAGGGTCTGCAGAGTCAGCCTGGCAAAGTGGTGGCCGTTTCTTAGGGAGTGATGGTCTGGAGGGCTCAGTGAAGATTCTGAGATAGTATCTGTGATCACTGGGAAAGGAGTGCTGGGATTGATTAGTGACGTCTGCCATGGATGTGGCAACGGAAGTGGGTGCATGCATGCTGCATCTTTTGTCATAGCTGTTGCAGACGCCCTTGGTTTGGGGAACTAGCCTTCTGCCTTCCCTCCGACCTTGCCCACTGCACCCTTCTGTTTGCTGCTCCGGGGCCTCCCAATGACAGCCTCGTCCTCACCACCTCTCTTTGTTCCTCCTCTGCAGTCGGGCTTTCACTCTGTACCCATGTAGGGACCACTCTCCTGCATCCTCTCCATCACCTTTCCTCAGATTCGCCTTCCACCTCCTCTGCTCTGGGCACCACTGCCTGCCCCTCCTGGACTCTCCACCCACAGCCTCTGTGACTCGGCTTTCCCCTCCCTCCCACTGCCTCGGCACTGCCTTCTCTCCCGCTCGTCCTCCTGCCCCTCCTGGTGGGTCCTCAGCTAAGTTCTCTGTCTTTTCCTCTGTCCCTCAGTATTTGTCCCCTGGGGACCCCGCAGACCATTGCCTCTGCTGCCAAGCCCTCTTTCTCAGCCTGCTCCACATTAGTTACTCATTCATTCCTTCGGCGATGGTTTGCCCAGGACCCATAGATACAGAAGTGAGCTGAGATCAGACTCCATCTCTGCCCTCCCATTGTCCAGTCTTCCGGGGGAGACAGGGGTTAATTAGGCCAGTGGTTCTCAACTGGGCACCGTTTTGAAGTGTCTTGGAGATATTTTTTTTTCTTTTTTTTTGTGGTACGCGGGCCTCTCACTGTTGTGGCCTCTCCCGTTGCGGAGCACAGGCTCCAGACGCGCAGGCTCAGCGGCCATGGCTCACGGGCCCAGCCGCTCCGCGGCATGTGGGATCCTCCCGGATCGGGGCACGAACCCGTGTCCCCTGCATCGGCAGGCGGACTCTCAACCACTGCGCCACCAGGGAAGCCCTCTTGGAGATATTTTTGATGGTCACAACTGGGCACTGGGTGCTCCTGGAATTTAGTGGGTGGACACCAGGGATGCTGCTCAACGCCCTGCGGTGTGCAGGACGGCCGCCATCACAGAGAATGAAACGGTCCCTAACGAGGATAGTGCCGAGGTGGGGAAACCTTGTTCTAGACCATCCCACCGTTTAACATTCCTGGGAAGTTTTGAGCAATGCTTTAAAGCAGAATTACAGGATGGCGGGGGGTGCTGGGGGGCGGATAAAGGAGTGTAGGGGACAGCAGACCTAGTCCAGAGGCTCACCGGGAGCTTGATGGAGGTTTTGACGTTGGCCTTGGGCTCTGAAGGAGGAACCAGAGTTGCCACGTGGGCATGGGAGGGAGGCATGTGGAGGGATCTGGAGATGCGAAGGCTGTCCCCTGCCCCTCCCCCCGTCCTCCCCCTCCCCCTCTACAGACAAGAACGAGTGTGTCCTGTCACCCGCGGCCTGCGGCAGCGCCTCCTGCCGCAACATGCTGGGCGGCTTCCGCTGCGTCTGCCCCTCCGGCTTTGACTTCAACCAGGCCCTCGGGGGCTGCCAGGACGTGGATGAGTGTGCGGGGCGGGGCGGCCCCTGTAGCTACAGCTGTGCCAACACCCCCGGTGGCTTCCTGTGCGGCTGCCCCCGAGGCTACTTCCGGGCTGGGCAAGGGTGAGGGGCTTGAGCGGGGTGGACACAGACACCCGAACCCTGGGAGTGCGCGCACGCACACACACACACACACACGGGCCTGTGCACACGTTCACGTACATACGTGTGCATGGAGAAATGGATGCAGGGGACTTCCCCGGTGGTCCAGTGGTTAAGACTCTGCGCTCCCACTGCAGGGGCCGTGGGTTTGATCCTGGTTGGGGAACTAAGATCCCACATGCTACACACACTGCATGGCCAAAACAGAAACCAACAAAAACAAAACAAAAAAGAGAAATGGGTGCAGAGGCCCCGTGGCAGCTGTACCTGTGCAGACACAAGCTCACACCCCATGTGGAGTAATTGTCCTGTATGTGCTTAGTGCAGGATGCACGCCTCCCTGTAATACATGTGAGTGTGTGTGAGGCTCACACCTGTGCCAACATGCCCGGGCACCCTCATTCACATATCCCAATGTGCACATGCGTGCAAGCACACGTCAGCATCCAGGGTGCACGCAGGCTCTACACACATACGCCCCTGGGTACACTCAGGTATATCCTACACCCCTGCACGCATGCAGGTTCACACCTACACCCAGGAAAGCCAAGGGATGCACACACACACGTGTAGGCACATGCAAATCCGCACTGGCACCTTGGTACACTCGTAGTTGCCCCCACGGGCAGAGTGGCTCCAAATGGAGTGTAGGGGGTGGGAGGATGGTAGGACAGGTCCCATCAGCCTGCCCTGAACACTTTCCCACCCCTGTCCTGGCTCAGGCACTGTGTCTCTGGCCTGGGCTTCAGCCCTGGACCTCAGGATGCCCCAGATGAGGAGCTGCTCTCACCTGAAGGCTGCTATGAATGCAAGATCAACAGCCAGCCCCCTCGTGACCGGCCACGGCGCAGCCCCCGTGGGGACTATCAGGTGCCATGGGGAATGCACTGGGCATGGGGCACAGTGAGTGGCAGGGACAGCCAGGGAACCGGCCAGGGGTAAGAGGAGCAGGCTCCATGTCACAGCTTGTCCCCTAAGTCATGGTGCCTTTCTGGGTCTTCGTGTAGTTCCTCAGCCTGAGGATTCCCCTTGGGGGCTCTCGGGGACACAGACCCCCAAGCACCCCAGCTTGCTCCAGATGAGAAGTCAGGCACCTCCCACACAGGCCCTGGGTGTGGTGCTTCCCGTGGATCCCTTCCATGGAGCTTCAATGCAAGAAAAATGCCTTGGGCCCCCCAACCCTGCCTGCACCCTGGAACTTGTCACCTGTCACCTCCTGGCTGGCAGAGCCCCTCTGGATTTAGCACCAATAGCGCTCAGAGCAGCTAGCTTAACCACTTCCATCATCCCCTTTCTTCAGACCCTCTGCACCTCTTTCCTGCACCCACAATGCTCCTGGAGCTATGCTCAGGCCTCCTGAGCCCTCCTTGTCTCTCCCCCACCCCACCCGCCATGCTCTCAAGAACAGCAGAGCAGCCCTGTGGTTTAGTCCCTCTGTCCCCTGGGGCCACTCCAGCTATGACCCTGACCCCACCAGGTTGTGCAGGGAGGGCAGTTTTGTCACAAATTCAGCTTGCTTGTCCTACAGCTGAAAAGTCCTTGAGGCTACTGCTGCCTTGTCTTGCCACTGTGCCCCAAAGAATATGAAAGCTAACCATTTATTAAGCACCCGCTGGGTACATGTGCTGCTCCAAGCATTCTGCATTCATTCACAACCTCTCAATGTTTACAACAGCCCTGGGAGGTGTAGGTACCACTATCATCCTCATTTTACAGATGGGGAATCTGACGCTCAGAGAGGTTAGGTCACATGCCCAAGTTACAGAACTAAAACCTGGCAGAGCAGGATGGCAGTCATCCCGGGCCCCTCTGCAGCCACCACCTTCTGAGGTCATTACTTTCTGTTATTTCAAGAAAAAAAAAATCACTGAGCACAGCAGCCGCTACTCACATCTGGAACCAAACTCCTTCACTCCATAGACTTTACTGAACACCTACTCTGTGCTGGACTCATAGCGAACAAACAAGAAAATGGAGCAACAGTGAACAACACATAAAACACACAATAAAAAAAAAGTCCCTGTCCCCATAGGACTGATATTCTAATAGAGAAACAGATAAGAAATATGTAAAACACATCATATTTTGTAACACATGATAAGTATGATACATGATAAATACTATGGGGAAAAAATGCAGGCAGAAGTGGGAAAGGAATGCTGGGTCTGAGGGGCTCTCAATATTAGATTATCTAAATATGAATGTTCCTTTGCTTTCCTTTTCCTTCTAGTTGTTTCCCCTTTCTGGGAAAAAGAGTGTGTACATATTATTCCCATTGTTACCGTTATTTTTGTAAGCATCACAGGTATAGGGCCCAGTGTCTGTCAGGTTTGCCACTGTGTCACCAGCCCTTGCTACTCAGTAAGAGTGAGTGGAGAGGTTGTCAGGGCTCCTGGCATGGACACAAGCAGATCTGGGCAAAGGCAGGCAGGGTCCTGTGGCTTTGCCTGCAATACCCACGGATTGCCAGCAGGTGTCAGTAAGAGCACACATCTGAGCAACAGTCCTGGTGAAGGGCTGGGAAACAAGAATAGTTTTCACTTTCCTGCAACAGCAAAACACCCCATCAGCATGTAAATTAGGCAGAACAAACAGCTCTGCCCAGAGCAAAGGAGAAGAAAGCACAGATAATCTCCTGTGGGATTGGATACATCACCCAGCCCCCGTCAGCCTGCCTTTGAGGTTTGCTGGCTTATTCAGGGCCCTGTCCGGCTGCCAGGATCAGGAAGCATTCTGAGGAGCTCAGATAAAGAGGGGTTTGTCATCTGCACACGGGGGGGGGGGGGGGGGGGGGTCTCAGAGAGCGCAGATGCAGGAAGTGCAGCCAGCCTCCAGGAACCGGATAGCTACTGGGCAGCTCCTTTGTATGGCCCAGCAGGGTCTTGTGTTTCTCTCGCTGTGTCTGGGGCTGGCTCGTGCTGCAGGGCCCTTGGTCATAATTCCAGCCACCCCAGACCACCTTTGAGTGACCTTAGGTGCTTTGGGGCCAGATGCCATCTGACTGCCTCCCAGTCTGGGTATCTGAGGGAAAATTCTCCATTTCCTCCACCAGGCTGGCAGGGATCGAACTAAGGCCCCTCAGTTGAAACAAGGGGTCTGGAGTCAACCTGTGAAAAAGTTTCCTTTCCACCTGGGAACCAGCCTCCACCTCTATCCTCTACTATAGCCCAAGCTGACCATTGGCCTTATGGGTGGGGAGGGCTAGACAGGAGTCAAGGGCAGGGAGTGGTCTGTGTTTTCCTCCATTTTAGAGATTGCCTAAAATTCTCCTCTTGGCCCCCTACCCACCGCATTCTGATTTCTCCCAGCCCCTGCCATCATCCACCTGGTCTTTCTCCCCAGGCGAGCCTGGCCAGCCTTGATTCGGAGGCTCCGCTGACCCTGGGCCTGAACCTCTCCCGCCTGAGCCGGGCCGAGCACATCCTAGAGCTGCGGCCGGCGCTGGAGGGTCTGGGGGGCCGCGTCCGCTACATCATTGCCCGTGGCAACGAGCAAGGTTTCTTCCGCATGCATCACCTCCGCGGCCTCAGCTCCCTGCAGCTGGGGCGTCGGAGGCCGGGGCCAGGAACCTACCAGCTGGAGGTGGTGAGCGTGGCTGGGGCCTGGGGCACCCAGCCTGAGGGGTGGCCGGCAGGCCGGGCCTTGCGGCTAAAGGTGCAGCTGCAGCTGCTGTAGTCCAGAGGCACCCACGCCTCACACCTGGCCCCAGGCCCCTCCTGCAGCCCGCTTCCCAGACTCACCACCTGGACACCACCCCCCCCCCCCCCGCCTCCTTCCACAGGATGTCACTCTGTTTGCTACACCCCTGCCCCCCCCCCCGGGAGACCCTTGACAAGCCCTGGCGTCAATGGGCCCCAGGGTCCCTATGCGGTCCTCCTCTCCAGAGGCGGGAAATACTAGAGCTGGGAGAGATCAATCCCCGGCGGCAGTGGCCGACCAGGTGGAACCCCAAAACTCAGGAAGAGCGAAATGCTATCCTGTGACCTCAAGCAAGCCCAGCCTCTATCCGAGGGACCCCACCATTCGGTGTTTCCTGGAGACAGCAGGCAGCTGCTGTGGCGTGCCCCCTCCACTTCAACAGCCAGGGTCAAGGAGGGCCCTGGGTTTCACTGTATCTGGTCAGTCTCAGGCTTAAACTTCTGCACTGCACGGGGGCTCAGCCCTGGGGGTTGGCGGGACATGGGAACGGGTGGCTAGGATGGGCCTAGGGCTCGTCCGTCCCAGCAGAAGGGCCCACGGGGCCCCAGCCAGAGTTGCTGACATGCAGCCATGTTCACTCCCACGGGGAGCTGGGCTAGGGTTCTGAGGATGCTTTTCTATCGGGAGCAGAGACAACAATAAAGTTATTTTGGGTTAAGTCTGTCCCTTGGCAGGTTCTGGCAGTAAGGAGACGCTGCCCTTGGCAGGGCCGGGCAAGGCTCGCGTGGCGGGGTAGCAGGAGGCCCCAGGAGGTCAGCAGCTTTGGAAAGGATGCACTTCTGCCTAGGGTTCTGAAGAGGATGTGTGTACGGGAGAGGTGGGTGAAGACCATCCTGCACCTGGGGGTGGGGGACACCATCCCAGGGTGCAGGTAGGTTCTACCAACTTCAGACCTGGGAGTTTGGCACAAAGCCAGGCTGCAAGTGGCAACCATTGGATCCCTTGTGGGTTCACCATTACTGATAATAATGGCTTATGATTTCTGACCCCATACTATGTACCAGGCACCATTCTAAGCATTGTACAATTACTGACCCATTCAGTCCTTGTGACTGAGTCCAAGCTCATACTACTCGCCACATGACAGGCCAGTAAGTCGAGAGACGAGTTGTTGGGACAAGGAATAGCGACTTTATTCGGAAAGCCAGCAAACCGAGAAGGTGGTGGACTCGTGCCCCAAAGAACCATCTTGCCTGAGTTAGAATTCAGGCTTCTTTTATACTAAAAGGGGAGGGAGTAAAGTCAAACCAATTTCCTTGTTCTGGTCAGCTTCTGGAGGGGATGTGTTCATTTCTTCCTGCAGACATTCACAGGTGGGCCTGGCCTGGATGTTTCCTGTGAGCTAAACAAAGGTATTTTAGCTCAGCACTCATTACCTGGGAAGCAGGATTCCTGGCCCAAGATGGGCCATTATGTATAATTTGAGCTTATAGGCAACATCCCTTTAGTGATTAACTTGTAATAGAATATAAAAAAGTTCTTCCTGGGCTTCCCTGGTGGTGCAGGGGTTGAGAGTCGGCCTGCCGATGCAGGGGACGCAGGTTCGTGCCCCGGTCCGGGAGGATCCCACATGCCGCGGAGCGGCTGGGCCCGTGAGCCATGGCCACTGAGGCTGCGCGTCCGGATCCTGTGCTCCGCAACGGGAGAGGCCACAACAGTGAGAGGCCCGCGTACCGCAAAAAAAAAAAAAAAAAAAAAAGTTCTTCCTTATTACATCATCACTATGACCCCATGGAATAGATACTGTTATTCTCATCCCCATTTTACAGATAGGAAAACTGAGGCTCAGAGAGGTTAAATGACTTGGCCGAGGTGACACCAGATTACAGGTAGAAGATCCAGATTCAAAGTTGGGCAGCCATGCCAGTGTCCTGGCTCCAGGTTGGACTGGATCTATTGAATTTGATGGCTGAGCTCAGTGGATGGGATACTCACTGTGTTAACATGTAGCTTGTGCGTGTGCTGTATGTCACAAACGGCAGTGTATTTAGTCCCCACAGACTTGTATGAGGCAGGCAGTGTTATCACCTCTGTTTCACAGCGGGGAAACCGAGGCTCAGAGAGTTTATGGCATCTGCTCTGGGTACCCATACAGTATAGTGGGGCCTGGAAGTTCCTTTGAGTCTGCACCCTGGCCCCAGGCCCCAGTGCTCAGCACCCCAGGCTGAGAGCACAGATCCTGGGGTGGGAGGGGATCACGTGGGTTTCAACACAGGCTGGGGACTCGCACCCCACAATGAAAGGTTCCAGAGACAGGAATGACGTCCCACCAATGGTTTATTTAAAAGTTACAGAGAAGCACATCCTGGGAGAGAACTGAAGCTTTGCAAAGACCCAGAGGGACACAGGCAGGTGTGTCCCTACAGGTAGGCAACTATAGTGATGGTTCTTTCCAAGAATCGTTGCCCAGGCAGGTGTGACTCTGGTGCCTGGAGTAGGCACGGGGCTTGAAATAACAGAGCTCCCTTGTTCCAGCTATCTGAGGAGCAGGAGGTAGCAGGGGTGACAGGGAGGGAACTGATGCAGCCTCAGGTGCGGGGACTGAGATTTGCCCTGAAGCACAGAGGGGCTGGGGCAGCTGAGGCTGCAGGGTGATAACTGTGGCATACGGAGGTCCAGCCCATCTCGTGCTGGCTGATCCTAGAGAAGTGCGGGCTCATGGTCCTGCAGGAGGGACGGGGCGGATCGGCAGGGGAGGGGGCGCTGGAGTGGAGTCAGGGGCCCTGAAGTTTTCAGTCCACACATTTGGCGTTTCATTTCAGCACTTGCCGAAGCCCCCTGGGCCAGAGCAGGGTAATAATGAACAGCCCCCCTAGGACCCCCCCATGCGAATCTGTGGGGCTGACCACTGAGCCAGCCCTCCGTGGTCCTGGAGGTGAGTCCCCTGACCCAGTCCGGGCTGATCAGGAGCCCTCACTCCTCAGCAGTGATGAGGGAAGGAATGGTCACAGGCTCAAGAGTCCTGACCTGGATTAGCTGTTCTCAGGAGGGAGGTTTTCCTGTTGCTGCTTCTGGTGGGACCGCTAAACTTCGACAATGGTAGTGTGGAGTTTCCAGAGCTCAACTTCCTCACCCCAGAATGAGGGGCTGTCAGAGAGAAGGCAAGAGAAATAGATAAGAGCTCCACCAATACCTTTGGATTACGTGGATCCAGCCCAGCCTGATGCCGCCCACTGGGTGGTTATTTGAGCCAATGAGTTTCCCGTTTGCTTGAATTTTCCATCTCTAGCAATTGAAAGTGTCTTGACTAAAAGAGCTGCATGTTCACTCAAGCCTCCCACTCACAAGCCACTGACTCTTCTTGGGGTGCAGGCAGCTGTCAGATGCTGGCCTGCCATCCCCTCCTTTGGGGGTTGAGAAGCTCAGGGGCCCGCAGCAGGGAGGGTCGGCCCCTTAGATGCTGGGCTGGGGTCTCACCCACCCTGGAAGTTTCTCCGGGTGCCGTGGTGGGGCTTTAAATGGGTCTTCTTCCGAGCATCCAGGATCTTCATCCCAATCTGCACCCACCTGGCCCTTGGCTTCCCACACACCATCTTGTTTTTCTGGGGGAAGAAGAATCTGCAGGGATGGGGGTGTAAGTGGGGAGCGAAGTTGCGTGAGAGTCCCTCCCTCCTCCCCCATGGTCCCACTCACATCACCGCAGGCAGGTTGCAGCTCCCGCTCACGTCCTGGCGATGGTAACTCTGGGCGAACCGGAGCATGGACCGTCTTGCTGGGCCGTGGTAAGCCAGGCAGCAGTCCTCAAAAGCACCTGCGACCACACAGCCGCCCAGAGGCTCGCATCTCTACACGTGCGTGTGCGGCTGCGCATGCGCTCTTCAGGAACGCCCACAGCCTTGGACACCCGCCCCGCGCGCACACCACAACTCTCCCATGCCCTGTGGAGGCCCAGGGACAGCCCAGACGGTAAGGAGGCCATTCGGCTCACCTTTGGTCCTTGATAAGGGGACAGGAAGCGGGAGTTGGAGAGGGCCCTGCAGGCCCCTGCTGGGTAGGGCCCAGGACCACGAAATAAATGGGGGACCAAGGCCATTTCCATTCCTGCTCTGGGGCGGAGGGCAAGGAGGGGGGTGCAGCACCCTGAGAAGGGGAAGGGGGTATGGTTGGACGAGGAGGAGGTGGTGGTGCCAGAAGGTTCTGGAAGAATGAGCAGGTGGAATGAGCAGAGGATGAATTAATGTGGAGACGGTGCTGGGCCTTCAGGGTCCTCTGGGATCCGTCCCTCTGCCCACCCGTGCCTCCAGGGGCCACATCTCAGTTCTGGGAGGGCCGTGGGAAGGGCTTGGAGGCTCCCTCCATCCCCCACCTTGACCCTGAGAGCAAGGGTCAGTGGAGTCAGATGGACCCTGTGTTGCAGTGCCAGGCAGGCAGTTCCCCGGGGCTGAGGGCCCCGCTGGCCCCAGGATCAATGGGCCCAGGCTGGGCCTGGCGCCTGAAATGGACCTCTAATAGCAGGACAATGGGAACGCAGCCCAGTCCCCTCCTGGGCAAAGGGTAAGGTCTGCTGGGGTCAGGGCTAGGGCCTCTCAGAGCTAATGAGGGGCAGGTGGGTGGGGCCATGGGGCTTCCACCTGGGCAGGGGCCCTGCTTTGCCAGCTGCTGGGGCTCAGCTGCCTCCTCCGGCCCAGCGGGATGCAGAACGCAGCGGCAGAGCTGGGGGACACTGGGGGCAGTCAGAATAACCTTTGGTCACTAATATCACCAAATGCCTAAGCTAGGGAGAGGAGGAGAGGAATTCCCCATTGATAACAGTAATGGTTATCAGTGCTGCTGCCAGGCACTGGGCCAAGAGTTTTGCGGGAATCAGCCCATTGGATCCTCACGTCCCATCTCTGCGACAGGAGTTTGGAGCCCCACTTTGCAGATGAGGAAACGGGGGCTCATAAACGCTGAGTAGCTACTCTGAGCCGGACCGCACAGGTAGCCGGAGTAGGGGAAGCTGAGATGGAGACCCATGTTTGTTGGTCTCCCAGGTTCTGAT